GATTTATTCTATAGAAAGCAATACCCTGTACGCTGATCAGAATGGATGATTGGAACCGCCCTTCTGTCAAGTTCCGCTGCAACTACCTGGATTCCCGAACCACCACCTGGGGCTACCTAGTCATTCGCACCAGCTATGACCCCGCCCTTGAACTGGCATGGCAGCGCACTTTGCAAAAGATCAAAGATAACGTCTACTCCGCCATCGAGTATGAACTCCGATACCCCCAGTCATGGATGAAGCTCTCCCGTCAAGACGGCATCCGCATCCAAAATGAGGGGTTCTCCTCTTTGGGAATCCCCCCTCCAGACCCTGCCCCGGTGGATAACCTTAAGAATAGGCTCAGACTCAGCCTACTAGAGGATTCAGCTCAGTACCGCGATCTCTCCGCCCCTCAGGTTCGAGAGAAATTCGATGAGTGGTGCATACAGCACACGCAGCAGCTCCCCAGAGAACGGGGAGTGATTTTGGACGACCCCTTGACTGAGCTAGGACCGGCCCCTGTTTCAACTGATGTCTGTCTCTGGATCGACGAGGAGGTTCTCAGGGTTGTGGATGGTGACATCAAGAATGAGTTTGGTGAGGGCCCATATGTCAAGGCTGTTGAGCGGCGACCTGCGCTGAGTCCTGACTACGATGGCTGGTTCAGGGTGGAATTGGGTTATCTTTGGATGATGTATGGACGCGCCGTCAACAGTGGCGGATTGGATCCGTTCCTGCCACCGAAAAGGCAGAAAACAGGGGAGAGACCCATCTGGAATGGATCTTGGCCGTTTGATGTTGAGATGGAGTCGTTGGGGATGGATGAAAGGGAGATGGAGGAGTATTATATGAGGGGGATTGAAGATTGACTTCCACTGTTTGTGAGCAAGCAGCTGGTAACTGATTACTTGTGGCATGTGAGATGAATTTCGCTGAATACCCCTTCAGCAAAGACAAGACGGTAAGGCTTTTTGGTAAGAAAACAAGGAGTGTTTATTATATAGCCTCCCATCTCAAGCCACATGCAAGCACAGAATATAAAAATATTTATGCTAGTAGTCATCAGGTACCTAGGAAAGCCCCTAGTAAGGCAGGCACCTCTATATAATATTAGGGAATAATACTCTTGCAGAATCCTCCTTATAATAAGAGCTAATACCCAGAAGTGTGGGTGGAAACTAGAAAATAGTATTATAGTAGTATAACACACCAATCTTATAAGGCTATAACAATGCATGGTTTGTACTAGAACCTAGACACAAGTATAGTAGTTAGTATAAAACTGAAAACTAAGTATAGCTTCTAAAGAAGGGAGTGTGAATAGATACAGCTAGGCTTGGTGTAATAACTTTTATTCAGCTATTATATGGTGCTCAGGGTGAATAATTAAACCTACTCAAGACAAGTTTAGGCAAGGATTAGTAAGTAATCAGGGGCTATTTAGAGTGCTCTGGGATGCTCAGGGAGTAATCAGGGTATGCACTCTCTCTCTCCAGTTATGATCCCACTGGCTTAGTGAGCAAAAAGCGGCGGCACTTTGGACTGAATCTGGAAATGGAAAGTCGTACAGTATCCACAGAAAAACAGTTCAATAGGATGAGAACAAATACGGCCATGCTAGGTACTTAAGCGATCATTCCAAGGGCCCATTCGCCCATAGGGCTGTTATCAGTATCCACTATTCTAGTATTCCATATGGAGACATGCATTTTATGTAAAAGGAAGCTCTAGTGGTCCAATAGCACATGCTTTTGTGGATCGGATTATACTATCATTTCAACTTATATATCCAGATCAAGCACTTCGATATCCCACACTAAACGCAACCTACTGCTGCATATATTCAGCAATGAGCCCCTAATCAACAGAACTCTTCCATTGCAAGAATATCTGCTATGACAGTCTCACTACTTCTATTGCACTCCGATGATGCCACCCATACTAAGAGCAGGAGAGCTTGAAGCTCACCAGGCCCATCAGAGTCTATGACCCTTGCGGAGCGGCTCCGTGGCTGTCCATGCAGGTAACAGCCAGCCACAAGATGAATGAGTTTACAGCTTGCAGAGTCAGAGCATACGCCAGCTTTTACTTTTATGTTATTCCAAAATTCAAAGGGCTCAGGGCTGATTAGAATCCGTTGATGTTGCGGTGGCTGGCATCATAATTGTATAGGCTCGACATATGGCCATGGAGGCCTGTTATGCGCCCTACGATGCTCTCAATTTTACTGCAGTATTATTAGCTATGTATCGTTACCTATACAGAGAATAAATAAAGTATTTGATTTTTTGATTGATATTTTCAGTCTCTAAGGGGCTTAACCTGTTCGTTCATTAGTATACTAAGTTGCTGTGCAGGATTTAAGCTTAGTATATATCTTTATCCTAAGCCCTGCTTACAGGTTTGAATTATCATATAAGTAGCAATATCAATATCAAATTCTTAATAAGGAATAATCGAAGAGATGCAGTATATACCTTATTTTTAGAAATATGAAGTGACTCAGCCTTGTATAGTTTAATAATGGATGGACATGCAGTGAGGATGACGGTCAAACTGGTGGAAATGGGAGAAGAACAAGAGTCTCCTATTTGGCTTGCTCACTGTTTGGTCATTCTATTTTGCTTGGTCTGAGATAAGATGCTGTGCACTATACTCTTACCTTGCGCCCTTGGACAATCAACCCCAGAATACATATATAAAGCATCAACCCGATTAATGTATAAGAATACGCCTATACTGTCTACATAGTGTACCAGTAAACACCATTAAAAATAGTCAACCCCGATTAGCATACTGCCCCATCTCAATCTCACTGTTCATCTCATCATACCGCACCACAACCCTCGTAGTCTTCCTAATGACACACGCCTCCGGGCTCATCCTCTCTTGCTCCTCTGCCGAAACAGTCGCGTCCGCTCCGCCCTCATCCAGCACGCTCCACCCCTCGACTTTTTTTGGCGTCGCGTCCACCGGTAGCGAGCGATTCCCGTGCGATGCAGGCCCCGCAGAGCTTTTGTGCAGTCTGCTGAAGAGCCGGGGAAAGAAGAAGGAGAGCGGGCGACGCAGGGCGGGGAGACAGGCGCAGATGATGCCGAGGTTGGATTCGATGACGGTCCACATGGATGAGCCGATGCTGTTCCAGGTTGTGTCGAGGTGGTTGGTGGCGACGTTGAGGGTTGTGATGCGCAGGACGGAGGTGATGCAGGTGCTATTGCCGGTCAACCAGGTATCCATCTTAGATGCATATAGGGAAGGACTTACAAAAGACCCACGGCGAATATGCCGCAGAGAGCGACCTTGGACTTGAGCGGGAGTTGCAGCTTCAGGACGACGGGGATGGGCAGCGCAATCAGGACCAGGTCGGTGAGGATGTTGAATGCTGCGTTGGCGTACCAGAAGGCCGTCATATTGATGCAGGTGCCGCGGCCGGGGAGGGACTTGTTGAAGGCCCATTGCACGGGGGTGCATTGGAAGATGCTGGAGAAGACGGTGCCGATGGTGAAGGAGACGATGATGGCGATCCACACCCAGCAGGTCCGGAGGAACCAGCGATGGACGAACAGGCGGATGTACAGGAGGAGGATGCTGATCTTTGTCAAGCCGAGGTTGACCTTGTAGAGGATCTGGGCCACGAAGTAGAGCTGTCGATGTGAGCTGAAGCCAGGTGTTTGCGTTGACGGACATACCTTTAATGTTCTGAGGACCAATTCCTTGGGCATCTCATGCTGATGCTTGCCAAATGCCCATCCGCAGACTAGTCCATCAGCTGTGTCGCATTACTGGCAGAGTCCGCCAACTTACCGATGATCATCTGGATGGAAACCGTTTCTGCAAAAGCCTACGACGAGTCAATACGCAGCCAGACCTCTGCAATTGCTGATACTCACACAAGATACCAGAATCGTCCAGTCGTCTGCGCCAACGCGACCGGAAAGAAACCGGCGACCGAGCAGCCTTGCAATCACCACGAGAGGAGTGACGATGGCAAAGACCAGCGATGGATAGGACAGCCGCGCAGAGCTGTCCGGGTGATCCCCATAGTCGCTAAACAGAGGCATGGCCTACGGACAGACACATATCGCACATTTTGCGTCAGGGGCAAAGGGCAGGGAGACCTGCACATAAATGCAGAGAGTCCAGCAGAGAGACAGGGATCAATCAGACCATGTCACAGACGGTACTTTCGTGTCGCGGAGAATTGAGACTGAACCGTTGAGCCCAGAACACAGGAACATGTGTAATTTCCATCAACAAGCTGGCTGGCTCTTCTGGCTAGTACGAGACTGCGGCAGCCAATTAATCGCAGCAATTGTCGGTCATGTTCTCGATCTCCACCCGTTCGGCAGGATGAACACACTCAGCGCCACGGGCAGAGGCAAAAATTCCCATGTCTCAGCAGCGATTCAGGCATGATTAATTGAGGTTGCAGTGCCTTGAATGACCGGTTGGCATGACCTAATGATATCGAGTCAACCCATGTCGGGTTTAATAAACTAGCCTGCACTGTTCATCCGATGGTCCAATCCTCCTCTTGGCCCGTGAGTGGACAAGGCCACTTGTTTCACTGTTTAATTTGTCGATATGTGCCACCCGTGCAACCGAGAGTGACACTAACCACTAACCGCCATCCCCGCCGGCCTAGACATTTAGTTATCTCACTAGTCATGCATCATCCATGCGATTGCGAGACTCGAACAAGGAATCTGGTCCCGGCCCGACTGTCGTCGAGCCCGTGGTGTGCCCCTGTGCAGGGGTCAGTGTGCCGTGAGGGGATAAATGTCCGTGTCGACAAGACTCTTCGTCTTGGTTTTCTGGTTATGTTACATTAACGTGTATTTATCTCAAGTCCTCTAGCAGGGGTATCTCCTTTTTGTCAAATTCCTGTTAGTAACAGGTTCCGTGGCTGGCCACGCTATGCTGTGACGTTTAAATAGTCGTATTTTTTTTCTCTTCCCCAGCCATCTCAACGCACCCGTATCAGTTCCTCAATCCCAGGAAGAGATTGCTTGCTCGCCATGGAAAAACAGGCCAATCATGAGATCAGCCAAACAGGCAGTAGCCTGGAAACTGCGGCCCCGGAGATCGAGATGAACGAGAAGCGCGAGCAGGCGCTTCTGCGCAAGATCGACCTGCATCTGATGGTGCCTCTCTGGGTCATCTTCGTGTTTGGCTTCCTGGATCGAATCAACCTGGGCAATGTGGCGGTGCTGGGGATCCTCAAGGAGTTGAAGATGTCCGGTAAGGACATGGCGCTTGCCATGCAGATCTTCTTCGTCCCGTATATCATCGCCGATATCCCGAGCAATATTATCCTCAAGCGGTTTGCGCCGTCGACCTGGATCAGTGCTTTGACCTTTTGCTGGGGTAAGTCTGCCATTCCCTTACCCTTCTCTTGCGCTACTTGATAGCGGACATGCTAACAACTCAGGTATAACATGCATGTGCCAGGGCCTGGTAAAGAACAAAGCCGGCTTGGTTGCGTGCCGCTTCTTCCTAGGCCTCTGCGAAGGAGGCTTCGTCCCCGGCTGCGCATACCTGATGTCCATGTACTACCGGCGCCACGACTTCCAGAAGCGTTTCTCGCTCCTCTGGGTAGCCGGCCTGGTCGCCGGTGCCTTTGGCGGCCTCCTAGCCTACGCCCTCTACCATATGCACGGGCTAGCAGGCTACTCGGGGTGGCGGTGGATCTTCATCATCGAGGGCCTGTTATCGATTGTCTCTGCGCTGCCGGCCAAATTCCTCATCGCCGACTGGCCCGAGCAAGCCCGGTTCCTCAACGCCGAGGAGAAGGCGCTGCTCAAGGAACGCAACGCGCGGGACCTAGGCGGCCACGACGGGGCGAGGATGGATAGGCTAGACGGCGCGGCATGGCAACGCATCATGTCCGACTGGAAGATCTACGTCGGCAGCCTGATCTACATCAGCATCACCGTGTCAGGGTACGCAACCGCGCTGTTCATCCCGTCGATCGTCAACTCGCTCGGCTACAACGGCATCGACAGCCAGGTCCACAGTATCCCCGTCTGGGTGGTCGCGGCCGTCGTCACCGTGATCGTCTCGTACCTAACGGACCGCATGCGGCACCGCTACGGGTTCATCATGTTCGGCGTCCTCTTCGCCAGCATCGGGTATGTCATCCTGCTCTGCCAGGGTCCTCCCGCGGAGCTGGGCGGCCTGAACAAGCATGTGCGCTACATGGCTGTCTTTTTTGTCACCACGGGCTGCTATATCGTCCAGCCGGTGGCGATTGTTTGGATGGCGAATAACCTCGGCGGGCACTATAAGCGGGCTATTGGGCTGGCGATTCAGATTGGGTTTGGGAATATTGGAGGGATCATCGCGAGTAATATCTTCAATAAGGATTCGGCGCCAAGGTATACTGTCGGATATAGTGTGTCGCTGGCGATGATGCTGCTCTGTGGGATCATGAGTACGGTGTTTGCTGTGGGGGTCGTGATAGAGAATAAGAAACGGGATGAAGGCAAGAGGGACTATCGGTTGAATTTGGATCCCAGTGTGTTGGATAATATGGGGGATGATGATCCACGATTCCGCTTCTGTCTATGATTAGCATTGGGCTAAGGAGGTTAGCAATTCCCTCTACTCAATATGAAATACATTATATAGAAGACGCTTTCGCAGTGCATCTGAAGTCACCCGTATCTCCGTAGATGAGGATGGCACCTTTAATCGCCCGAGATTGAATACCGGCTCTAGCAGAGTCCTGGGGGTCGGATATCGCCCAGGCAGCTCCCCAGCTTCGAATTAAAATCTTGCATGTGCCTTGGGTAGTCCCAGGAGTACCAACTTAGTGACCTGACGACGAATAACTGAATAAGGTAGTCCCATAGGATCCACAGCGGTTCCTAAACTTGACACATTTACTCGTCAGTCAAGAGTCATGAATCTTCAACCAGTTGTCGCAACTCCATTATGATACTTTCCGGAAGCGAATTGGCAATGGCTGCCTTAACCACGGCATTCGTGACCACCGCTTCGCCATCCCGTTCATCGAGAAGTACTCGAAGATCCGTTCCCCTAGGCTTTTGTCTGTGTTCTCAGCCGCTGCTATGAGTACCTTTCCGTGACGGATCGCGCATGTGGGAATTCACAGAGGAGAAGTTGCATGATATGAAAGCCGGCTCGTGGATTCCTCGCAGCCGCTTCGAGAATACGTTCAATGCACCAAGGACGTGATTCATTATGCTCAAGAATTAGAAACTCGACAATTTCAAACCCATGATCCTCGTTCTCTGCTGCAACTTCAACAATTCTGTCCACGAGGTGGATATAATGTCTGTGTTGACCCATCATCAAAGTGAAGGTCTCCCAATCCAACAATTTCACAATTGCCTGTACTCCGCTGGTAGTGATCCGCACCTTGTTGTGGCAGAGAAGCTTGCTCAATAAGTCTTTGTTGAACGGGCCCCGTTTATGCACCGCGTTAACAAGGTCCTCTGTGATCTGAATACAGTTGCAGTACTCAGAAAGCTGATCCACACTCTGCTCTGGAACATGATGGCTTCCAGCAACCGCTACCCAGAAATCCTCTGATAGGCAGACCTCGTCGGGACGTATGTCGAAAAGCATCTTGACCGTGTCGTAGACCGAGTAGCTGATAGCTGCAGCTTCCATCACCTTCAGTGTGATGCAGATTTGATGTCCCCATTGCTCGAGCAGGACTTGAAGTGCTTCCGTTGAGTGCCCAGTCGCGATTTCGGCTGCTTTCTGTGTTATCTCCACTTCGAGGCCATAGTTTTCGTGAATCCAACGCAATAACCTCCAAGACATCGCAGCTATTCCTCGCGGCCGCTTCAATCATCCTCGTTGATATCGTGAACTCGCCCTCGCGCCTCTCAAACAGGAGACGCACGGTTGCAGGACGTAATAGGCCAGCAATCGCCTCTGTCCCTGACTGCGACACTCGTACCCTCTCCCCATCGCCGAGAAGGAGATTTATCAGCTCATAACCATTGGTGAAGTTGCGCGCTGCACTCCGTACCACAGATTCTGTTATCTCCATTTGAAGGCCATGACCGAGAAGTACCTCCAAAATGGTTTTTCCTGCGGAAATGTTTCCGACTGCGCCTTCCACTGCTTTAGTAGACGGGCTTTTGGGCATTCCTTGATTCTTCAGCACCAAAGCCACCATTTCAGGGTTGTCAACTCGCACGGCCTCTTCTATCGGGGGTCCAACAAGGGTAGCTCCATGACCCCCCCACAGAAGCCGTGTGACCAAATATTCCGTGCCCCTCTGCAAATTCAATGTGATCTCTCCTTTACACTCGGCAAACAATATATCAAAGATTCTCTCGCTGCCAAGATAGCCAGAGGCTGCCACTGCTGCTACTGCTTTTTCCGTTATTCCCACCAACGGAGAATTCTCGAGCAAAATTTTCATTTTCTTTTCGCTATCAAAATCATCGTTGACAGCTGCTTCAATCGCTTCTGGAGTAATCGGTAACCTGTTGTTGTGCTCAACGAAGGCTCTGAGGATTTCTACACCAGACCAACTTTCAGCTGCGAGAAGCACCGCTCTCTCGGTTACCTGGACGGATGGAGTATGTTTCAATAGACGTTGCACGATCGTTGCGTGGCGCACCGCTTCGACCACTTCCTCGGTGATAGATACTCGTTCACCAAGCTTATCTAGTAAGCCGCATATAAGGTTAAGTGTGTCGTTCGATACGATATACATCATTGCCTCGGCAGTAAACCAGACCCGATCCTTGTGTTTTCCGTTCAGTAAGTTGTAACTAGGAATACCAGACATGCTCTCTTCTATGTAATCAGTGCAATGGCATAGATTTATTAGAGCTTTCTCTGTAAATCAGTGATTGAATTTATACCCTGCTTATCCATGCGTGCTTCAAGAATATACATGAGGCTGTGCCAGGGAGGACTACAAATGGACCAGTGGCCAATTTCATAGTCTCGTAGAAAACTTGAATAAGCAGATATCATAATATTCAATTTTACTATATTCCAAGCTAGAGCTCAGAGTATAACTGAAGAGTGTTGTCATATCTCCATACCCTACTAACATAGTTCATCAAAAGACTATTGAATTAGATCACCATACGGGGGTGTGAATGAATACTGGTATTCCTCAGTACTATCTCTAATCCTCTTTACACCCCAGAGGTTGAATCAGCCTTTGCAGCCAGACAAAAGCTTGCCACATGTAGCTTGTACCATTTTCCCTTACTCTAGGTTACTTGAAAGGGAAATGCTAGTGGGATGAGATGAAGGATTACGGTAATGGTAACCAGCCAGGTGATGAAATGCTGAATCTCGAAATAGGAATGGAATAGGAATGGAATAGGAATAGGACTATTATATCTGAGTAAAGTAATTCTATCACTAGTTGCTCTCTATGCTCGACTTTATCTATTTACCTCCACTAACCTCCTGATATTCCTGGCAGGTGGCCTTTGATGTCTTAAGATGTCTTTCAGAAATGCCAGTAGATTAATCATAAGGGAAAGACCATGTCAAAGACAGATATATGGAGTTAATCTCATTCTGACCACTTCTCTGAATCTTATTATCAATCCGGAATCAGCGAGAGAAGTAGGCTTTTATATTTTGCGCAAAATTCCAGCCTTGCTATCCCGCACTGGGTTGTATGACTGTGAAATGCTCATAACAACTTAGCAGAGCGAAAGAAAGATCTGACATCTAATGTACAGAATCACCGAAACTCAGCGTAATGAAAATCAGCGGGAGAGAGACACTTTTGCAACTCGCCATAACTGTACAATCCCAGCATCATGCCTGTAAACGGCGCCCCGACAGGAGGTGCTCTAGTCATGACGCTATTCGCAACCTCACCGATCCACTGCGTCGGTGATTCGACTCCCTCGCTGACCTCCTTGTATCCGAACCGATACCTGTCTCCGCATTCGATCAGGAAGATGATGTCGGAGGTGGGGCCCACCTCCCGGTCAATGGGCTCGCCTTCTGCCGGTCGAAAGCGTACGATACGCTGACCAGCAGTGGATAGTCGGATGCCGATCGAGCTGTGTGTGAAGTAGTTCCAGTAGACTACCGTGCCGGCTTCTACATGGACGGACGAGGGTTGGAAGGATAGTCGGGTCTCCCAGGTACAGTGACGGGAAGATTGCTTCCTTAGGAAGAGAGTTGGGCAGGCCGGTGAGGAGAGGTTGTATGGTCCGCCGAGCAGCCGCAGATGGTTAGGACGCTCGGTAAGAGAGTAGTCGATTTTCACCGGTGTATCTGTATCGTCAGCTGAGTTCACCATGATAGGACTGCAGCAGCGCGTACTTTTTCTATACCAGCCCAGCTGTAGCTTGGGACTGGAAAAGTCGTCCCTCCAGGCCACCGGCGGCTCATACTCATAAAGCCCCGGCCCAGACTTGAGAGTAACCTTCTGCCCGCCGTTAATAACCGGCCAGTCGTTCTTCCACTCCATCGGAACGAGAAATGTCTCCCGACCTACCCACCAGATATCATTAGCTGCCTCAGCCGTAAATTCCGGCACGGCGAATGCACCTACCAAAAACCGACTCCTCCCACACTCCATCCTTCCACACTGGCCTCACCCCCAGGAACACCGCCCACCAGTTCCCCTCCGCGTCCTCGACCAGATCCGCATGCCCGGTGTTCTGCACCTCGTCGTCCACCCCATTCCGCCACAGGGGATTGCACGGCCCGACCTCCCACGGCCCAAACGGACTGACCTCGCTCCGACAAACCCACTCGCAGTGCCCGCTCTCGGTGCCCCCCTCCGCCGTGAAGAGATAGTAGTACCGTCCCCGCTTGAAGATATGCGAGCCCTCCGCTACCCCCGAGGCCGATTCGCGGATCAGCCTCGGCTCGGAGGTGGAGTTGCCCGTCTCGAGGTCGACGGTTGCGATGTGGATTGCGAAATCCTTGATATTTGCGCCGGGCGTGCGGACGAGCTTGCGGTATGTTGATGACAGGTACACCGTTCCATCGTCGTCCCAGAAGAGCTGTTCTCAGTCTTAGATCAGTTAGGTCAGGGTTGGGTTCAACGGGCTGGGCTTACATCCTGGTCGAACCCGACCTGGTCGAAATACACGGGATCAGACCACGAGTCCGAGTCCCAGATGTTCTCTGTCTTGACGTAAAAGCCTCGCGGCCAGACACGGTCGTCCTCCTGCGGGCGGTAACGCTCGAAACTGGCGGCGATGATGTAAAAGGTCCCCTTGTGGTAGCGTAGAGTTGTTGCCCAGATCCCGCCTCCCGGCTCGGGGGTGTGGATCTGCAGCTGGCTGGGTTTTGTCAAGGCATGGCCGATCAATGACCAGCGGATGAGATCTGTGCTGTGGTAGATAGGTGCCCCGGGAAAGTACTCGAAGGAGGAGGTGACAAGGAAGTAGTCCTTGTTGACACGGATGATGGAGGGGTCCGGGTTGAACCCGGGGATGATGGGGTTGTTGTACATCCTACACTACTATATTGTCTTTCCACCTTTGGTACTGACGTTCATCAAATTGATGGTCATGGTAGATATCTAAGCTATTGCGGGGGATTGTTATATAGCGGAGGCTGATAACTTGATGCTTTCTGGTGATTGGTGGAGAAATCCAGTCCAGAGTCTGCCCGTGAGGATCATCCTGTCGGATCGGGGCTAAATGCATTTACCCATATCCACGAACGATTTAGCCGCAGATGTAGATTGCAGATAGGTTGTATATTTATGCCGGTACTCAGTGTTGATCTGATAGGCAAAGCGGTTGACTTCCTCAGAGTTGAGGCTTCACTTCAACTCACGATCAGGCTGGTGTGTGCATGATCCCTGGTAGCGCATTGAGCTACAATCTATGGATCTGAGGCAAGCTTTCCGGAGGATTGTAAGAGTCCACAATATGGGAAGCTCAGCAAACGTCTTAGATGTTCCAGTCGCCAGAATGGGCCATGGCTGATCAACAAGTGCTAGCTTGACTCTGCATCCTCGAAGCAGGAGTAGAGAATGAGGAGCTGTCAGCTGTCGCAAGATAGTTGCAACTTCCTTTAATTCGCAGTATTAGCTGTATGTCTCGAGAGGCACAAGAAGAGTGAAAAGGGGAAGTCGTCGACTCCAGTGATTCTTGTTGCATGATGGGTTTGTGGCATGTGATTGTGGATTCCCCGGATGGATCGCGATTCCACGAAAAGGGTCAGGTTCTACCAAATGGACAGCAGCGTCAACTGGAGATCATGTGAACCTGACTTCTTGCACGTGCTCTTAGAATAGCTCCAAACAGTTCAAATCAAAAACGGGATAATCCAATACCGAATACCAAGAGAACGGATTGTGGAATACGGACTAGAATAAGATCCAAGCTCTTTGTTGCCTGAATGACCAGGCATCAGTTCCTCGGGATAACACGCGTCCCAACGTCGAGACAACTGGCGACACAACACAACACAGAAGATCAAGGGATGATGATGAATCCAGAAATGAGCATGCTTATCCATCTCATCTCACCTCATCATCATCTCATTGAGGCTGTTAATCTGATGACTGATCACGATAAATGATGAAATTCAGAGTGCTCCTCGGTATTGCCGATGAGGCTAGGAATCCCTGCATACCGGCGCAGGGCTGATCTTGCCCATCCTGGTCATTCGATCTATCTCGGCGCGTCGATTACCTTCAGTTCCGATGACTTTTCTTCTTGACCGAAACGACATCATCACTTCCCCTTCAAAAGTCACGGTATTCGGCCGGAACACCCCGTACATTCTTGACCGACTGAAATCAGGCATTCAGGCCACCACGCTGGCTGAGCCGAGGTAGATTCCCCATCGGGAAACGCCGCCCACAGGCCGAGGTGATTCATTCCCCCCCAATCCACTTCCCCGTGGAGAAAAGAAAGGCAGTTTATAAGGGTCGTTGTCCATTCTTTCATCTACTGCCTCATTTTGCTGAAACTACTCCTTAAATTCCCCAGATTGTTCTGTACCCACCATATTCGCAATGCCTTCTCCTCCTCCCGAATGGGTCAAGGCCCTGACGCCTTCGAGCCCGCAGGGTACCGACCTGCTCAAGCAGGAGCGTGCCCAGTCCAATGTCGAAGTCGACAAGCTTGCAGAGTTCCTACATACTAAAGCCTTCCTGGAGAAGCAGCAGCGCTTTCTTGAGCTTCTCTCGTCCGAGAAGGTCTTCGACAAGTCCCAGATGCACTCGCAGGGTCGTCCTGAGCGGATCCAGCGGGCATTGGCCAAGGGTAAGCGGCTGCAGCAGTTGAAGGAGAAATACAACTGGTCGACCGAGGATTACCACTTTGCCAGTGAGATGATTGGAGAGCCTACTCCTTATGGCCTCCATGCCAGCATGTTCTTGGTACGTTACCGTCTGCGCGATACGGCAGGCCTGGCGCTAATAGTGTTGTGTTACAGGTGACTCTCCGCGAACAATGCACCCCCGAACAGAAGAAGCTCTTCCTCGAACCCGCCGAAAAGTATCAGATCATCGGTTGCTACGCACAAACAGAATTGGGACACGGATCGAACGTGCGTGGTCTGGAGACCACTGCTACATGGAACCCTGAGGACAAGACCTTCACCATCCACTCGCCTTCCCTTACAGCATCCAAGTGGTGGATCGGATCCCTCGGACGCACCGCCAACCATGCGGTGGTGATGGCGCAGTTGTTCATTGCTGGCAAGAACTACGGTCCTCATCCATTCATCGTCCAGATCCGTGATCTCGAGACGCATCAGCCATTGGAGAATATCTACGTGGGTGACATTGGACCCAAGTTTGGTTACAAGTGAGCATCCCTCATTCCATAATTTGGCTCCTACTGACATGTACAGCACCATGGACAATGGTTTCCTCCTCTTCAACAACGTCAAGATCCCTCACATCAACATGCTTGCCCGCTTCTCCCGCGTAGACAAGGAGACGAATAAGTACATGCGCCCCGCGTCGCCATCCCTAGTATTTGGCACCATGACCTGGGTGCGCTCCAACATCGTCCTGCAGGCCGGTTCCGTGCTGGCCCGCGGTGTCACCATCGCCACTCGCTACTGTGCGGTCCGCCGACAGTTCCAGGACCGCGACGCCAAGGCGGACGCGGGCGAGACCCAGGTGCTCAACTACAAGATGGTGCAGATTCGTCTGCTGCCGCTGCTGGCGGCCATGTATGCTCTGCACTTTACCGGCCGGGGCATGATGCGTCTGTACGACGAGAACCAGAACAAGCGCGCCGCCGCCGAAGCCGGACAGGACAAGCGCGGTGCGGCTCCCGAAGCCCTCCGTGCCGGGTCGGATCTGCTGGCTGATCTGCACGCTACTTCTTGTGGTCTGAAGGCGCTGGCCAGTACCACCGCCGGTGAAGGGCTGGAGATCTGCCGTCGCGCCTGTGGTGGCCACGGATACAGCAGCTACAGCGGTATCGGACCATACTATTCCGACTATCTTCCGACTTTGACTTGGGAGGGTGACAACTACATGCTCACCCAGCAGGTTGCCAGATACGTAAGTTTTCGTTCTACTTTATCTGTCAACAAAGCTAATGCTAGATAGCTCCTCAAATCCGCTCGTGCGGTGCTTGCCGGCAAGGGAACCGGCAACGACACCAGCCAGATCCTCCAGGCGTACCTTGCCCGTCGCGACAAGGGTGCCTCGTTCGACATCCTCGAGGTGGACAGCGACATTGTGGCCGCGTTCGCCTGGCGCACAGCCCACCTCACCTTTGAGGCTCTCAAGCACAGGGATCTCGAGAAGCGGTCATGGAACAGTCTGCTAGTGGACTTTTGGCGTCTGTCCACGGCCCACTCCCAGTACCTGGTGGTCAAGAACTTTTACGAGGCGGTGTCGTCACCCGAGCTGGCCGCCAATCTCGGCCCGGAGACGACCAAGATCATGCACAACCTGTTCCGCCTGTACGCTCTGCACACGCTGGAGCGCGAGGCGGCCGAGTTCTTCTCCTCTGGCGCCGTGACCGTCCGCCAGATCACTCTGACCCGCACCAACGCGGTGATGAAGCTGCTGGACGAGATCCGACCTCACGCAGTCCGCCTGGTGGATGCCTGGAAGATCCCTGACTGGCAGCTGGACAGCAGTCTGGGCCGATACGACGGTGACGTATACCCTGATCTGTTCAACCGCGCCAGCCAGAACCCTGTCAACGATCTGGTGTTTGACCCGTACCCATGGAACGAGGCGGTGCTGAAGAACGCACCCAAGAGCAAGCTTTAATTCCTTTCTTCTACTGTATATATTAGCTGTATATGATAGACAGGGCCACATAGAATAGATGATATGACTCAGTCCTCAGTCACGAAGTACGAAGTACAATGTATCTGACATGTCCGATGTCGGAGCCCATCCCCGCATATAAGATCTCCAACCCCTCACCATATCATATCCATCCCATCTATACAACAATTTATCTTTATATCTTCAATTGAAAAAGAAAAAGGAACCAAAAAATGGAAAAGAAAGAATCAGCAACCTACACGCACGGGCACCACCCCTCCGTCCTCCGCTCCCACACCTGGCGCACAGCCGCCAACTCCGCCGCCTACCTCCTCCCCCACCTGCGGCCAGACATGCACATCCTCGACATCGGCTGCGGGCCCGGCACCATAACCGTCGATCTGGCCCGCTTGGTCCCGCAGGGCCACATAACCGGTCTCGAACTCTCCCCTTCCGTGCTGGAGCAAGCCCGCTCCCTCGCTGCTGACAACGCCATAAGCAATATTACCTTCCTGTCTGCCGACGCCAACGCCCTCCCCTTCCCGGAGGGGACCTTTGACCTGGTCCTCTGCCACCAGGTCCTCCAGCACGTGCGCGATCCAGTCCATATCCTGCGTGAGATGCGCCGGGTGACGAAAGAGGGCGGGCTGGTTGCAGCTAGGGAATCGGATTATGCGGGGTTCGTGTGGTACCCGGCCACACCTGGGCTGGACGTCTGGAGAGATACATACCTGAAGGTATGTAGGGCGAACGGCGGGGAGCCGAATGCGGGGCGGATGGTGCACGTGTGGGCGAAGCAGGCTGGGTTTGCACGCGAACAGATAAAGTGCAGTTCGAGTAATTGGTGTTATAGTACGCCTGAGGAAGTGGAGTGGTGGAGTGGGCTTTGGGCGGAGAGGACGGTGGCGTCGGAGTTTGGGAGGACGGCGAGGGAGAATGCGGGTGTTGATGCAGCTGAATTGGAGGGGATTGCGAAGGCATGGAGGGAGTGGGGGATGCAGGAGGATGCGTGGTTTTCGGTGCCTTCGGGGGAGGTGCTTTGTGTTAAGGGGGGAAGGTGGTAACTGCAAGAATATATACGACTACGGTATTAGGGCAAGGTGGCTTGAGTTGCTTTTGTTCTACAGAGACACATAAGGCTAGAGGTTTCAGAGTGATAGATTTCATAGAAAGAAGCGTCCATGCCAGGACTGCTGCCCTCAGAGAGCTGGATCCAGTTTACCTGATCACCCGGCATTTTTGTATGCAGCATATAGCCCTTTCACTAGGTTGATGCGTACAAAGCACTCGTCCTCCAATATACCAGTCAATGCGCCAGGAAGGCCCGACTAGAGGATGGCCAGCTACCCGCAGATCAAATACGCGGTTATACATCGGAGTGGCAGTTAGGAACAGACGTGCCATCGGAGGGATGTCGTCACCGATCAACGCGTCCTGTTGTCATCGCAGTCTACTGGATCTCCCATGTCTCGACGTAGACATATCATTCGCATGATCACTTGGAGGGCCCAGTACGCATCACTCAAGGCCAGATGGCCTAACCTGAACAAGCTCACGAATGCCTTGGGCTGCAGGAGCTTATATAGGGGCGGTTGGGTACTCGGCTATGGTCGCAAGTTGCTTGTATTTACGGAACCAGTCGACATCGCCATCGTCGCTTCCGTCCAGAATGGTTCCCGCGCGCCTTCTCCTCGAGTATAATATCCCTAGATACCCGCACATGTCAAAGGCCCTGTTATACAGGGCTGTTGCCGTCAAGAACCAGACATGGGGCCTCGAGCCGTGCAACGGCCTGGTGGACTCTCGTCCGGATGGTTTTGGCCGCGTGGCCTGTCACATACCATGCGGCCGAACCATTCGCCAGATTTGAGTCGAATCGCATGGCTTGCTAAATCGGCCAGTGCCACATGACCATCGGCCAATGGGCAAACAACAAGAAATGCAGTCGTCGCCCCTCGATAAGAAAACTGTAGGTGGGCTATAGAATTCAATAAGCTCGGTCCAGCTCGGTGGTAATGAAGTCAAGGAACTCCCTGAGTGACTGGAGGGCCTCGTCCGTCCTATCCCCGTCGACCGCGGTAGTGTCAGCCTCGGTCCATATGGTAGTCAATGTCTGCCTCCAGAGACTCTCCCTGTAGCGGCGGCGGCGGGAGCGCTGGTGCGATGAGCGGGAGGGGACAGGACATTCCACGTTGTTGTTTGTTCCCAGACATGGTTGCCATAAACTCTGCACCGTTATACGCATCTAAAGCCCCTGATTCTGCAGAGCAACAGTTAAAAAGCTAACAGATCTGACGCGCGAGCCAGGGGAGCACACAACAATCCTAGGACAATAGACACTGGTGTTAGCAAGAGAGCCAGACAGCCACCTAATTGGAAAAAAGTGCTCACAGTTGGCCGGAACCACAGATTCTCTAGCCCGAAGCAGGATCAAGGAGGCCTCCCAGACGCGCTGAATGTCTGCCAGGAAAAGCGTTTTGGTGGTAGTAGTCTTGGAGTGCTCCTTCGCGGAGAACGACACGGCCGTCGCGAAAGGTCTCTAGAGAGACCCGATCCAATGTGGCAAGATGACTGATGATCACAGGTTACGACAGACCAAAGGCCGCGAACAGGGCCATTGCATTGCCTCCATGAATGCAGCGGCTTACCTGGTTGATAAGAGCCAGTATCTCTAACCGAGCTGCCATGAACGTGCGGTAATCATAGGAGTGGCGGGCACGGTTCAGCAGAGCAAGGAGTAGGGTGCGCAGCAGCATCGCTTCGGCAACTGAGGCCGAATCGCTGGACAATGGAGGACAGATCGTGATTGTACCTCTCAACAGGACATGCGGTAGGCCATTTCTTTTTGAACATCCAACTACCTGAAAGAGCTGCCTCGGTTTCGACAAATATTGCATGGCTTGCTGGGCGGGCTGAACAATCCTGTCTGATAGTTCTGTTGGTGACTTTCCTGCGATATCTTTGACCGGCGAGACCTAAGGTCTCAGGTTAGCTCCAACATTCTCACATTACGTCCCCTCGCGTGGCTCGCTCACCAATATTAGGGGTCATCATTCGCTGATCACGCGTATACTGGACATCTCAGACGTGATGAAAGCCTCCGAATCTCCTTGAGCGGACCGGTCCATTCGTCACTCGTGTCTTGTGCCTGTCAGAAACCGGACTCTTCACTTGGGTATATACTGAAACTAACCTGCGGACATTCTTCCGTAGAGTCAGATTCGACATCGACCGAGCCATGCGTTGTGCATGTGCTTTGGTGTTCTTCAGCTTTGTCATTTCGCTCTTCGAGTAAGAAACGAAATGGATCATTTTCGAGGACAGCAGTCTTTGACTGTCTTTCGGCGGAGTCATCAGCGATCTCCTCCACCTTGGGAGGGATATCCTTCAGAGCGGGACCACTGTCCAAAGCCCGCAACAAACCGCCAGCCTGAAGAATCGTGCTACCCAAATAAGCCAAGTAGTAAGGAAATCGACGGGGTAGATACTTACACATCATCATCGGAATTCCAACCTTGGGTGCGACCGAGGTAATAACCACACTTCGCTGACTTGCCATTCCAAAGGCAATTCGCACACGGTCCCTGAAAGAAAGCACGAGTCGTGCCAGCCGAGTCGTACTCGAACCCCACGACGCACTTCCTAAAAGTGCCAGATGTCTCACATTGTTCGCAAGGGTTTTCCCATTCGATACCACGCTGGTAGAGAATGACCGCGGATTGATGGAGCATGCATCTGATTTCTTTGCCCACTTATTCCAGTAGTCAGGGTGGAGACACGTGGAATAAATTCATCAAGGCACATTACTCATAGCTTTAAACAAGGCATGAGAATCTTATGAGCAAATCAGGTATCTTGGTTGTTAGGCGCTCGGTCAAAAATTTGTATGCAGACTGGCAGACTCAGGAGTCTATTATTATCGGACGCAAGGAATTCGAAGTCCTTTGCGCTGACGCCTGAAACAGCACAACTTCATGCCTCGTGTGTAGGCTGTCCTAAAGTATGGTATGCTCCGATGGAAAATGAGTTCAAAGGAGAGGCATAAATATAACAGACTGCGTATATGCAAGGAGAATATCTAAGATGGCAAGAAGAGATGGCTGTAGTGTGGAGAAGGTAGAAGTGGGCGTTGGGGGTATTTATCCCTGACGGAGGCCAGTGAATACCCCGTCATCAAAGAATCCTTCAATTCATTGAGCAAGGATAGTTTTCTTCTGTATTATCAGAATTATTCACAGACTCATTGAGTCATTGGCTAAGACTCCCTATGGACATTGTCTATAATCATTCACTCAGCCGACCCCCTCAGTTATCATCCCTCTCCTCCGCCTCCTTCAAGGTCTGTTCCTTCGTCAGACGTGGGTTGCGGACACAGAGCGAGAAGGCGATCAGGGGCACAGTCAGACAGATACCCGTGATACACAGCAATCTCTGCGCATGCTTGTAGGCCAACACGACGGCGTCCCGGTCCGGCGTGCCGACGGGATTTACTTCGGCAAAGGCGAAGGGATTACCATAGACTTCTGCGGCCAGTGTCGCGTTGCCAAGCCGATTCTCCAGCTCGCCGGGCAGGACCTGAGTCCAGATGGCGCCGGAGATCGTGTTTCCGATGGCGCTGCCGACGTTGTACGTGGCGAGGTAGATGCCGGTGATGACGGCAAGGTCTGTGGTGGTTAGCTTTGCGAAAGTTCCTGAGGACGAGAGACTTACGCTTATGCTTGGAGGCGGCTTGAATGCTAGCCTGAGCTGGGTAAGGGAACAGACCGCCGGCTGGACAGGTCAGTGGGCAGTTTCTTACATGAATGAGAGTTCACTTACCAAAACCAAGAAGGAGCTGACCACCGATGATCCCTGCATGATTGGAGCCGTCTGCGCCTCCCCGGAATCGGATGAGGATACCAAAGGCTGCCATGAAGAGCAAGGTACCCGCGACAATGAACGGCTTGAGGCGTCTCACATATATGACGATCGCTCCGAGAGTAGTTCCCGTTAACACAGAGACGAAGCTACGCATGTCAGTCAGGCCCAATACTGGCTGAAAGGAGGACAGACCTGTAGAGCGAGGTAATGCGCGTGGCGCTCAATGTACTCTCGTCGAAGCTCACAATGAGAACGGTGTAGAGGTAATCGGCTTGCAGGGTCCAGGCTAGTCTATGTTAGCAACGACTTGCAGTGTGATTTAGTATATATACCGGTATTGAGCATGACAGCAATTCCCAACGCACCCCAAACCGCGCGATCTTTCAACAACTGGACCTAGTCAGCCCATTCCGTACACCAGGTAGGAGAGACTCTACCTTGAAAGGAACCATCGGATGTGGACACCACCGCTCCCACATTATGAAGGCTGGAACGCAGAGCACTCCAATGACGAGAGGGGCAATGACTTTGGCTGTCTTCCACTGCGTCACGGCGCCTCCGGCAATCGTGAACGGAACGAGGATCAGAGCCAGGAGGGCAATCAGGAGCAGAATGCCAACCACATCCAAGTACCAGAACACGTCGATGAAAAATTGACCAACTCCCTGGTCCAAGAGGGAGAACCTATAGGCCTGGGGGTTGGCTCGCCTAGCCTTGAAGTGGCCCACGAAGAGGACAGCGAGCAACGGAATGGTGCAGACGGGGTAGATGATGGCGAACATCCCGATACCCCATTTCCACGAGGTAACCCCCAGGACGGCCGATGTGACGTTACCGCTGATCCAGGTATTAATCTGCCATTGTGAGCTTTTTCCCACTGGAACGGGGACGGATATCGTACAATGAACGGCAGTGCAGGAATATACGAGAAGAGCAGTCGAGACCGCGTGGATGTCACGTCGGCGATCAGAACCTCCACCAACAGGATAATTGAAGTATATCCGATCTTGATTTCCCGGTCAGCGGCAGTTTCATCGCTGGTTATCAAGGCGAAATACCTGGTAAAGCACGGCACCGATACAGAACTCGTACAAGCGGTCGGACGCTGCCTCGACGATCGTACCTACAGTATAAAAAACAATCGACAGCAGGATGAGCTCCACTCTCCCAAAGACATCTGCAATTTTAGCCGCGGTAGGCTGTTCCAATTAGCGTTGGAAGACAGGAAGATCAAGGCAGAAGGGCTGGTATACCTGAGCAGCAGCAGCAATTACCGCACGTAGAACATTGACTGTCGCCAGCAGACTGTGTGACCCATATTCGGCAGTCGCCAGAGGCTAGGAACGTTAGATGACATGTATACACCCTTCAAGACGCACCCGCAAGACAAAATACCTGATAAGTATACCGAATTGTTCCATCCAAACCATAGACATAGGCGATAAGGAAGACACCGAAGAAGAAAATTATGCGATGGACCAGATTGAACTGCGATGAGATCACCTCGATCCGCCTCACACCGGGACTACCGATGCCTCCAAATCGTTCAACGGGGAGGTCAGGCTGGACACGCGACTCAACGGCATCAGGGGCATTTTTCTCTGGGGAGTCGTGCATCGCCATGTTCATTTGCAGATCGTCACCGGTATAGGGGCACGAGAAATCAAAAAAAATTTGGTCAGACGGGTCAAGGCCTGCTTTAAGAACCCTGGTGCCACGAAAAGGGCCGCCTAATAGAGTTTGGCGAGCTCTGGTGCCAATGTCTTGGCGACTTTTAGTCGGCAGTATTCATCTTATCTGATGAGGGAATTGTGGAAGGAAGGAAAGTGAAGCCGACAGACGTCAAGGAATGGACAAGATTGGAGGTTTCCAGAGGAGAGACGTTGATGGTTGGATGACGGATGGTCGTCGTGAGGCCGTCCGCATGCGGAAAGACCTGTCCACCATGATTGTTGACTCGGTCACATCCAGCAACAAAACGTTGCATCGGTTCGATCAGATAACCCAAAAAGACTCGGGAAATCCCTCTATCAGGGGTGGGGTTATCAATCAGATAAGCGGATCAGAAACTCAAACTAAGATTTTTTCTGGTCGATGACCGAATCGCTGCTCACGCTGGGATGCGCCAAGTACTTAGTCCCGGCCCAAGGGCATCTAGCCCATCGCACAGTCACACCGAGGTCAGGTCACCAATTCTGATTCATTTCCCATCCGGGTGGGATGCTGGAAAGAGAAAAAGCAAAACTAATCATTTGACCCCCTGTACACTGGGGTATCTCGTATCATACATGTCTGGTGCCACCAACTGCCAAAACAAAATATAAGTACCTCAAAATAAATCAACAACGATGTCATGTAAAGACGTACTCCTTGGATCAGGCTGCAGTGCCAAGATCGCACATTAACTAACAAAGACCTGGACCAATGGAGGGACACTATTCTGGTGAGAGTCGCCTCGCGGAAGCGCTCGAACTGCATCCATGATCTGACTGACATCGGCGATGACAGCAGCACCATGGAGAGTCTGCAAAGCTGGACAGTTGCACCACAACTAAATGAACTTCCGCAAATTGGTCGTTTTCTTGCTGTCCAGATAGACCGCTGGTCCGGGACCTCAGACTGCCGGTCCGATAGCGGCCTGCCGACGACCGCTCGAGAATCCTTGGCTTTCGATTCAACACGGTAGGACCAAAACGCGAGACTGGCGTACCAGAGTCCCAAAGCAAAGAATCGCGTCAAAGACCCAGGAGGCATGGCTCTAGTCAATACTGATCCACTCGAGCAGGCTCTAGTACACCCGTCAGGCTTCGTTCTTGTCCTCCTCGCCGGCGAACAGCTACATTTCTTCCAGCGACATGTGGAAGAACATGGAAGTAAGTTCAAATACCAAAACAAGCACGGGTTTGATGGCGCTAACCTTCTTGAAACAAAGCAGCATGCGCGGATGTTGTAGTGCTTGCGACAACTCTGGATGTCTTGAAGTCATCACCAAGGAACTGCTTCTTGTCTTAGTGTTGTCGAATCTGACTTCGCCCTTGCGGACCGCCTCGTCTACCTTGGGCGCCATTCCGCGGCTCCAGCCAACACGATCCTCGACTTGGCGAAAGCGTCCAGGAAGCTGCGCTGAATTCTCGACCTCCGTCTTGTAGTAGGATGGAAGATCCTGTCGACCGGTGATGAATCGCAAGTACTTGAGCTCGCTGCTTGCCTGTGTGTAGCCCTCCGCAGAACCCCGCAGGTGCAGAGAATACCACGGATATTGGGACGTATGTATTCCTGGGACGAGCAGTATCGTCGCGAAAGTGATTCCCAGGGTCCATCGATCGACGAGTCTTCTCGGTTGGCCATCAGCTCCTCATTCGGGAGGTCGCCTTCAGTGGTATGTGAGCTCCAAAGCGTGACAAGAAGTTCGCAGGACCATAGTTGCTCGAGCGAAGCCGCTTTGAGTATCAAATATGGGCGGCCATTCACATATCACCAATGCCAACAGTGTCCTTCTACGGCTGGGGATAGATGTAACCAAGGTCGAGGCGGTCGAAACAGAAATGCTCCGTGCTCAACATCAGCCAGGTGAAGCAAGGCCCAAGGCTGAAGACTTGACAGCTTCCCAAACGCTCACTCGACGGCAAGGCTTTTTGACTCATTATTTCTGTGAAGCAGCTCGCGGACATGTGGCGACACTGACTCACTTTCATTGCCCTATTTGGTGGCTGGCGACACTGACAACCATAACCTCAGAAAAGTCTTCTGTACACCGCGCCGGTCTCCAAGAACGTCTCCTGGTTGCTGTGCTGGCGCCAGGTTCCGGCAGTCCCGCTGAGGTGCAGACCTCTAGCAACGTCGTTGATATTGATCCATGCCACCCTCACTCTCGGGGACGGAGAGGTGGTCCAGAGTGACATGGTCATCGCCGCAGACGCCGTGGATTCTGTTGCGCGATGCATCGGTGCTAGCAACATTGCCCTTGCGGCTCGTGTAGGACTGCATTACAGTTCTTGATGTTGCGCCAGGCAGCACTGGACGATCCCGATCTAGAATCCAGCGACGGCGTCCGTTATCTTCCCAATATCTGTCACGATTTCAAGGGAGAGGCGGGGTCCGAGTATCCGGTCTTCGACCCGCATGCAGGAGAATCCAAGGTAGTCCCATCAAGGTGACGCGAGTGCGCAAGACCACCAATGCTTCCTACCTGATTGATGCGCTGGGCTGGGAATCTCCGCGAAGCCTGCCCCATATCATTCCGCGCTAAGGTGGGAGAGGATGAGGGTGTCCCAGATGTATCATCAGCCATGCATCTGGAGTAGCAGCTGTCGAAGGAAATTTTGACAGGGTTGTCTTCATGGCTTTGAGCGTGCCATCCCGAAAATGCCATGTATGTATCAGTTTGCTCGTTACGGTTCAACAACAGCATGTAGCATCCCGAAGCAATTTTATAGTGGCTGGGAAGTCATGTTCATAGAAACCGCCAGTACTTCTGCTCAGATCTTGATTATTCAAAAGCCCCTATCTATCGCTGTACGAGGCGTGAGCGTGTACATTATTGACCCGGCTCATATTGAAGGCCATTATGATCTGGGATTTGGGTCCCACCAATTTTCTCAGCGTCCGAGTGGAACCGAATCAATCGTCTCAGCGTCAAACGCCCTAGAAACTAGCTGCAGCGACGTGTCCTGCTAGCCTCCTAAAGTACACGACCTTGTCTCCAAAAGTACTATATTGGAAACTGCTCCCCGCATGTTTGGGGACAACAATTCAATAGCTCACGAAGCATCCCCTGTGGTTCTCAGGTGGGGTCAAGCGACGCAACGAAGCTAATGTCACAGGGAGCGACAGGCTTGACGTTCCAATGTATGCCAAGGACGATCAATAATATCGGCGATTACTCCGAGGTCAATAGCCAGATAACGGACGCCTATATAATCGTTCTGTCGGCATTTCATCGCTGATGGCACTGACAGGTTGCATCGGTTCCTGATATTCTGATGTTTAGTCGTCGCTCGACTACCGTGACTTTAGAGAAATCACAAAAAATCGCGAGATGTCCCTGGCGTTCGGCCGATGATGTCAGAAACGGCTGTCCTCGTGGCATCAGTCCAGGATAAAATCAGGTGTTGCACCATCTGGAAAGGTAGGCGTCGACCGTGTGAGGCTTTAACCTGCGGTCGCATCGGAGGCGCACGGCACAAATATCCGCCGCAATCATCATAGTGCGGTTGATGAAAAAGAGCTTGACATAAGCGTTGCATGTAGATACAGGGTAGTCTATCCCTGATTCAAAGCTCAGTGGCCATCAATGAGGCACTAGTCGGCGTCGCAGGGACGGCGCCAACCACAGCATTGCAGGTAGTACATGCGTTATAATAACAGACATGATTATATAACAACACCCTGGCTGAAGAGGATGAATAATCCGAATAGAATCCGGGTGACTTGGGTAGAAGTAGAAAGAAAAAGGAAGAGAGGAAGGGAAGAGGTGATGATGACACAGGATGGCTGCCTGTCAAGAGGGCCTAATAGATAAAACTGAATACCTAATCGGGCGGGCTGCCGGGAATTGGCCTCCGCCATCAGCTGCACATCACCAGAAGCGCAACGCTTTTGTTTCTCTCCCACCACCCTCATATCGCTCATCAGATCATCCATTGCATTTCTTTCCTGCTTGCGAGCTACCTTGGTAGTCTCCTCCTATAACCGTCCTCCTGCTTTCTCCTTCCTTCGTCTCTTCGCCTTTTCCCCTCTCTTACCCTCCTTCATCTTCTTTGTGCTCGCCCCTCTCATCATCCTCCGTTTGTCCCTGTATGAACACCTTGCTTAGAACTCTTTTGATTACTCTCTTCCGCTACAGTACCTGTCATTCTAGCCTTGTACATTGCGCCTCGTCATAGAGACGGCCTGAAGACCCAAGCCCTCTATCATTATCTCACTGGACTCGCGATCAAGCTAAGAAGCTTTCCCCGCACCGCACACCTTCCAACACAATGTGAGTCGGTCGGGCTGAATCTGAACCCCGGCGGGCTTTGCATCATCTGTTACTGACAAAATTCTCTTCTACTCTCAGGCGCATCACTGTCAGCGTTATTCGACCGGACCAGGCCGACTCTGACATCATCTCCCTCGAAGTCGGCGGAGATATGACGGTCGAGCTTCTCAAGGCTATCGTCGAGAGCGAAACATCCATACCCACAAATAATCAGCGCCTTGTATATAACAACCAACTACTTGGAAATGATGCGCAGACTTTGGAGCAGCTTGGTATCGGGGAAGGCGACATGCTAGGCGTTCACGTTACAATGCGGAGCCCTCAGGCACCTGCTCGCAGCATAGGAGGCGGCCCCAGTGCAGCGACTCAGCAGAACCTCCAGCGGCGGCAACCGATGACTCCCGACCCCGAGACAATCCGACTACATATCTTGGGTGACCCTCGCGTGCGAGAGGCCGTCCGACGGCAGAACCCCGAGCTGGCAGATGCCGCCAACGACGCGCAGCGGTTCCGTGACGTCCTGATGGCGCAACAACGCCGGGAGGCTCAAATGGAAGCAGAAAAGGAGGCGCGCATTGCCATGCTGAATGCAGATCCGTTCAATCCGGAGAACCAGCGGGAGATTGAGGAGATCATTCGGCAGAATGCAGTGACCGAAAATCTGCACACTGCCATGGAGCATCATCCCGAATGTAAGTGGCAGTGGATCTGAGGCTTGCTATCAGAGACTAACGAGAACTCAGCATTTGGTCGCGTGACCATGCTGTACATTCCTGTTGAGGTCAACGGCCACAAGGTCAATGCGTTTGTCGATTCCGGCGCACAAGTCACCATCATGTCTCCCGAATGTGCGACCGCATGCAACATAATGCGACTGGTGGACCGACGGTACGGGGGTATTGCAAAGGGTGTGGGAACGGCGACCATTCTGGGTCGGGTACACTCCGCGCAGATCAAGATTGGAAGCATGTTTTTGCCCTGCTCCTTCACCGTGATGGAAGGAAAGCACATCGATCTACTTCTAGGGTTGGATATGTTGAAACGACATCAGGCATGCATTGACCTGAAGAAGGGTGCCCTGGTCATTCAGGATGAAGCCGTGCCGTTCCTCGGCGAGGCCGATATCCCCAAGGAGCTGCAGGAAGGCTTCGAGGATGAACCTATCGTCAAGGGTGCCGACGGCGCCGAAGTTGGTGCTCGAACTGGTGCGGTCACACACCAGGCCAGCGGACCCGGCACATCAGCGGCTGCTCCGTCATCCTCGACACCTAGGATCAACATCCGCCCGGCGCCGTCGTCCCGATGGCCGCAGGACTCGATTGCGAAAATCACTGAGCTCGGATTCACTCGGGAGGAGGCCGTCCGAGCATTGGATGCAGCCAATGGGGACCTTGATGGAGCGATTGGTTTTTTGATTTGACATGTGATATCACCCGCAGGCCGCTTTGGACACGACATACTTGCATGTATACCGGGATCATCCGACTAGACCGTTATCTTGAGCAATCGCAAAACGGAGCTTCCTCGTCCAGGCCAGCCGTGGTCGTCTAGACCTCTGCACCTGCCTTAGAGAGGTCTATGCCCTTGCTTGCTTGTGGCACACACCTTGGTAGTGTTCTAGACTGCGGCAATCGACCGATGATACCACAGATGTTGTGGCAGGTTTGTAAAATAGAGGTCATGAAATGCTCCTCCAGTGAGTCCACTTCTTATGCCATGAACGCATTCTGTAGACTATTAGACACATTCCGTCAGTTAGTTATTATCTCGCAAGACCAGCTATGTAAGCAATGTATATTTCCAGCAAGCTCATACGCAACAGCATCAAACATTCCAACCAGCTTCATAGGGTATCAAATAGTAACAATCAGACTAAACCAACCCGCTATGCAGCACGCCATCAACCAAAAACCTACGCCAGCCTACGCCAGCTTCCTCTTCCCCACTAACCTCCCCCTGAGTCTAAAGACCATATCCAGCGTCATAAACGCCCCTAGACACACGTCAGCCACTACAATCACAAAATCACACACAGAGCAAGACATTCATACCCAAAGCAACATAAGGCCCATACAACATCGTAATACTCCTCTTCTGCGCAACAGTGCGATCCTCCCAGCTCCACACCTGCACCAGACACGCCAAACTCGTCACGAACGCCTGCACGCCGAACGCAAGCAGATGCACCGGAACCATAGCGTTATCGCGGATCAAAGCCGGGATGGCCCAGATGCTCAGCGGGGCGTGGTAGAAGAGCTCCATTGCGATGAACGCGGTGAACCAGGGAGGAGGGGCCTCGGCGAAGAACTTGTCGTTGTAGGAGGAGACGTAGAAGGCGCGGATTTGGTGCGCGAGGTTTGTTTGGAGGGCGGTTGGGAGGAGGGGGACGGCGTCGACCACTGAGTGCGTTAGCTATCATTCCATATGGATGGGTACTTCAGTTAGGGTTGCGATTTCACGTACTGAAGATTGTTGGGATGTGGATGATGAAGAAGATGAGATAGACGAGGTCGCGTTTCCGGCTCCAGATGGAGGCGGAGGCTGGTGGGGATGGCATTGTGATTCTATTCTATCGCTTCACTAGGATATGGATATGGTGAAGCAGTTGAGCGACAAATGATAGTTGGAGCTCTACGGTAAGTCGCGTCTATGGAGAACCGAGGAGCAGGACAGACACGGAATCACGCGCGGTCAGGTGACCTATTCAAAAAAGCAAGCTACCTTACCGATCGGCTGTTGGTGAGTCCCAAAGGGTTGGGATGGAATATTCTAGAGAGATTCTATTGACATGAATAATAGCTAAGGAGATAATTGCTTTTTCGACTACACGCTCTCAGACTCCAAAGTAAACACTAAGCAGCAGTTAAGCTTAGCTATGCGGATCGGGGGGGGGTACTATGGTACGGATACACACTACACTACACAGTCGGGTAGACTAATAGTATGCGGACATGCTCCGGCACCCATGGTTCGAGCAGAGATCGCTGTTTTTGCTTTTTCTGCTTTTGGTCTCTATATCAACGTCTGTCTTTCTTTTCTGCCTTGAACAAGTACGGTCGTCAGACTCCAAACAGCGATCAGCTGCGATCAGCATTTGTCTGATGATCCTTCCACCCTGGCCGTTTGACCGAGCAAACGAAGGCCTTCACCGCAAGTCTGAGACTTAGCATTTGTCATCGACGGAGAAGAGTCAAACTTCCAAGTCGTCGTCTCCTTTAGTCAGAGCTGGACTGACGATGGTCGGCATATGGTGACAGTCGTCCGGCAGACGATGTCCTCTTCAACTACTGCTAATTCGCTCTTTTCAGCCACTACGCAAATGATACGTACAGTCTCCTTTCCTGTCACTCTCAGTTTGTATGCATTGAAGGATCAAGCATATGATCGAGGCAATTTCCTCGCCGTGATTGCTTTACTAGCCTCCTAATGTAGTCACTTGTTCCATATTTTACGATTTAGACCGGCCGATCCTGGTCGAAATATCCATCGTGCATTGGCTACCTACGGAGAACCGAAGTTACAGACCTTGCAGGTTAGGTTAGCACGCCGTTAGCGTCAGCCCACGCCCTTCTGCCTTTAATCTATCGCACACACTAGCCGGCTAGTCCGTCGCAGGGGACCTTGAAGTTGAAACGTGAGACGGTGTTTGTCCCCCGGATGCATGTTTGGGGCGAAACTTTGGGCGTCGGGATTCGATAATCCACAGTCCACTCACTTTCTTTGCCTTGAATTAGATAGGGAATGCAATATACGAAGCCACGCGACATGGTAGTAATTTACGGAAATAAACGAATCCTTCTCGTGGAAATTGGGCCACACCGGCCCGGCTGGCGTCACGATTGCCATCCATTGACCATATCCGGATATCGTTTCGTAAGAGCAAGTGTCTCTGTATGAAGTACTATCCAGGGGTTAGTCTGGAGGTTAGAAGGTCGAAGCTGAGGCCTTGTCGTCGACTCGTCACGCCATGTGCGATCCTTGGGGCCAGAGACTCGATCTATTCGATCTCATCCATACAATCACCGACGTAGAATGAATTCAGGCACTCCGGCAGAAGTACGGAGTACGGAGCACAATTGAGTGAATTACCTTGCCGGTCTTGTTGGCAACTGGGTGCGGATATTCTGATGCAGACTGGAGACTGCATGATGCTCCATGCTTCTACTACAGGCTACGTCTACAGATAGGAACATTATCATCATCGCTCGTATCTTGTCTATCTCTTGATGACAAAAATCCACTAGACTCGTAAGGCGTTGTACCCAAAGTCCAACACGATGCCATGTGGGGAACCATGATAAATCACGGGCGTTGAACCGCGTTCCCGAAAAGAAACAAAAGGGTGTTAAGTCTTGGCTTGGGACAAGCCTAGGTGGAACTACTTCGTAGGCGGATTGGAGTAATTCGGATATTCCACGCTGTCATGTTCTGATGCATCAAGTCCATAGGTAACCGTTGTTACGTTACCAAGGCAAAAAGCTCCGTTACGCCGCCCGTTCCAACTGAGAGTGCGACACTGGGGAAACCCCGAAAGGGGAGTGTTCCATCCAGTTCCAAGTTCTGGTTCACCTGGTCTGGATCTCAGAAGGGAGATGGTGGTCGGGGAAGATGGGATAGCTTCCCAATCCTGGTCTCCTCCGTTTCTAAGGCCCGAGGAACATGCATGCCTAAGGCAGTTGGGTTAGTCTTAGGCTTAGGCCGCGGCGATTCAGCCCAATACCATGTCACAAAATCAACCAAATCAGCCAATTCGCACAGTTCAGCCGAATATTTAGCGATCATCGTGGGTTTATCCAGGGGTTCTCTGTGTTCCAAAGAATAATGAAAGATTGATAGACACTCCACAATAATCATGTAAGCCAGTCCGCTGCATCACATCGAGCCATCTTGCCTTATCAACATTCAGCAGCAGCAATAAAAACCCACCACTCACGATCCACAGTCAAATTGCCGTAGAAAAGCTCTAGCTGCGGACTAGATCACGGTAGTAGACTAGTAGGACGAACAACAGCCGGGGTTACTCTTACTCACCACCAGACTCCGGAGTACTACTAAGTATCTACTGTGCGATATCCTCGGTCATCCGTAGTCGACCCCTAGCTTAGGTTCGCAAATGATGCAAGGAGTATGCAAGATAGCAGAGCTCTGCTACCAAGCTGCTGCAGCTACTACTCCTACCAGAGACAACAGCTCAACAGCTCCGTTCCTTGACTGGTTTCGTCTTTCGTACTCCGGATGCCGCGACATGCTCCACTCGGTTTCTACCGACTGCCTTATCACTGATGGAACCTCTGCATTATGAGCAGATTAAGCGGTGAAACGGTTGAAGCGAATAGACTGTCCCATAGAGTAGTACAGCTATCTACAGAGTACAGCCTACAAATTGTGACAGAACAGAGCCAATTCCCCGGAACACGGCGGGAGGTGGGAATTTGTTGCTGTAGATGGTTAAGAGGGAATCTACCGTAGAACATACCCGTTAGTATTCCACGATACCTAGACTAGCTCCTGGGGGCTTGGGTTTAGGGCCGAGGAGCTAGTTTCCTTCTATTACAGAGTATTTATTAAGATAATATCACTTAGTATTATTATAATATCCTTGTCAGAACATGATTCTAACATAATAATACAGAGCCAAAGAACCAATCATCATCGCAATCAGTCACATCTGCTCAAGATGGTGCAAAGCTATGGGATAAATCTCCAACGGGCCCCGGTAATAATGAAGATGACAATGTCAGTAAGGATAGAACTTGAAGCCAGATGGACCCTTTCCAGAGCTCTTGACCGCTTTTTTCTTTCCTTCTTTCTTCTGTCTTCTGGTCTGAACTTTGAATTTCCAACTCGTGAAGTATGAGGTTCTTTGGGCTTACCATGCCGCTGCCCCTCCGTAGAGCAACTCTCCCCCTTTATGGCGATTATCCTGCATCTCACGACTCAAAAAAAAGGACCGAGAGTAACTGCATGAACATGCAACCTCATCAATTATTATTTGTCTGATTTCTCTTGAATTCAATTAATCTAACCACAAGTCCCCGGCCCGGAGATGAAAGGGAATAATGACTTTCCTAGTCTATCTAGTCTAGTCACGGCCGTTTTTGCGACGCACGCCAGTGCAACGAGATCATTGGCGCCATGGCGACGATGTCATCCACTTGGCTAAAACATTGGAATTAGATTATTTCGATTTACCTTTGATGTCCTGCTCGGCTTGCTCTATGTATGCAAGTAGTATGTCAGTATGTGCGTCCGTACTAACTGTGTCTTTATCGCCAGATGACGACTTGGTGGAGGCGAACTCGATTTACTGACTCCGTATCATACTTGGTACTTGATTAAGATTATTATTTTACACCTTGATAGTTTATGATTTTTTGTTTTATCTATCATCGGCAGAGTTCTCTATTTATTCCATTGCCGTCCTCGCCTCGACATGTAGACTTTTCTTTTCTTTTTCCTCTGCAGCATCAGATCTCGACTTTGAGTATATACTATACTTGAGAAGCCTCACAAGGTCGTCTTCACCACCACGAGGAACAAGACTCTTTTCCTGCGTGTCCTTTTCATCTTGGTTTCTGTTTCATTTTATGAATAAAAGTTGGCTTGACTATCCTTTTTTCAACTATATCCTATCCAAACTTTTCTCTCCATCATCTCAAGCATCTCTCCCATTCCGTTAATCATGCCTGCTTCAGCCCCCGTCACACCACCCAGCAAACCACAAGCTGTCAATCCTCACGAGGATGAAATCCCCATCAGCTACGACATCAACATCCCCTATGTCGATGTCAACAAGGAATCCACTTCACACACCAGATACCCCGAGTACCTTCCCACATGGGACAAGGTCTGGTTTGATCCTCTGCCCCCCTTCAAATACGAGGATCCGGCGCTGCGCGTGAAGGACAAGAGCAAGCGCAATCTGCTCACCCCCGGCGTCAAAGTCTCGCACATCCAGCCCCAGATCGGGAGTGTTGTGGAAGGCGTGCAGCTGAGCCAGCTCTCCGACGCCGCCAAGGATGAACTGGCTCTGCTAGTCTCGGAGCGCAAGGTCGTCGCCTTCCCCGCGCAGGATCTCATCGACGCGGGCCCGGAAAAGCTGGAGCAGTTCATGCGCCATTTCGGGAAACCAAACTATCAACCTGTCTCCGGGACGGTGCGCAATCACCCCGGCTTCCATATCATCCACCGTGACGGCAACCGCCAGGAAATCGCGCGCTTCCTCGAGCAGCGCACCACCACCACGCTCTGGCATCAGGATGTCAGCTATGAAATCCAGCCCCCAGGCTACGTCATGCTGGGTCTCCTCGAGGGCCCTGAAGTAGGCGGCGACACCGTCTTCGCAGCCACAGACATGGCATACAAGTATGCCCTCCCCCTCCTTATACTCTCCCGCTTTGCACTTCGATCAGAAGCTAATCCACGTGTAGACGCCTCTCCCCAACCTTCACCTCCTTCCTCGACGGCCTGCGCGCCGTCCACTCCTCCGCCAAAATGATCAACCACACCCGGCTGACCGGCGGGCTCGTCCGCAAGGATCCCGTCGACACCGTCCACCCGCTCGTGCGCATCCACCCCGTCACCGGCGAGAAATGCCTCTTCATCAACGGCGAGTTCATCACCCGCATCCAGGGCCTCAAGGAGCCCGAGCAGCGCTACCTCATCGACTTCCTCATGCAGCACATCATGACCGGCCATGACTTCCAGGCCCGCGTGCGCTGGCAGCCAAAGACGATCGTAATTTTCGATAATCGCTCCACGATTCGTAAGCCTTGCACTCCCCTATCCTGCCTCCATTTTTGAGTATTGCCTGCTGACAGCCACAGACTCCGCGATAGTTGACTACCTCGACGACGACTACGACGCGAAACTCAGACATATCTTCCGGCTGTGTGCGCTGGGCGAAAAGCCGATCCCTGTTTACGATCAGTTCGAGTAGACGGCAGAATCTCCTGCTAATCGCGAACGCAAAAGAAAAGTGCAGGGGTTTAGTCCGTTTCATTGTTTCGGGGTCTTGTTCCTTTCCCGGTGATACAGATACAGATACAGATACCTCGGTTCGACTTGGGGGTTTGATTCGGTTATAGACGGTGTGCGTGTTAGTTCTTGGTCGGGGTTCTTAGACTTGTCTTTTTCTTTTTCTTTGTTTCATTTTCATTTTCATTCAGGCCTGTGATTTAGATAGACTTGTTTGATTTGCTGCTTTGCTGGTTTGTTTGGCGTTGCTTTAGCGTGTGGTGTTTGCGACTACCTTACTTTATTTACCCTGTCGGTAGATAATCCTAATGAACCATGATATGACTTCGATTGGACCTGTCTATGATTCTGACGAAGGTGTCTAAATAAGATACCGAGTATAATCTTCGACTGATGTTCAATTCGTTCAAAAGAGATGCATTGACAATGGCAAAACTATGACCTGCCTTTTTCATTCCAACAGCCTCAAATGCCGTCTTGCAGCGGAACTACAGAAAGAAAAATAACGCCATATGCTCACAGTAACTCGAAAGAACATGCAGAAAACAGCTACCATGTCGCAATTGTACACTAGCATAAACTCCATCGACTCATTACCGCAGAATTTCTGCAATCCGCGTGCGCAGCTCATGCGCAGCTTGCATCTGCTCGGGCGCAATGCCGCCCTGTTGCAACAGGAGCAGCGTCTCCGAGACACGCTCCGCAACTGCGTCGCTTCCGAACACGATCCCGCCCAGCCGGACTGTCTCGTGGTACCACACCTCGATCAGGTACAGCAAATCCCTGGCAATGTATTTGCGGTTCGATCCGTGGAATGGCGCCTCGTCAGTGTAATACATCGCTTCGAGCACGGCGTAGATGGTTTCGTGCGCAACCCCCAGATCCAGGAAGAGATCAACAATCCACGTCGGCGGGCCGACATCACGCTGGTGCTCGAGCGCATACCGTTCCAGCATCGGTAGGAGGTCCTTGATCGGGAAGACGGTCTCGGACATGCGCAAACGGCTGCCGAGACTGCGCACCTTCTCAATCACAGCTTCGTATGGTTGTGGTTCCCCCTTTGCGAGTGTCTCATCATGCAGGTCTTGGAACAAGTGTTGCCATGTCGACCTGATATCCGCTGAATTGCGATAGTCCGCAAGGTAGAAAATCTGAAGGCAGATGTCGTAATAGCTAGCAGGATCGGCGTACTGGTTGAACAGCTGTACCACAAATTAGTAAGCCCTTACGAATGCATGATTAGGACTGGAACGTACAGTACTGATGTCCATGATGGGACCGTCCACCTCTTTCAGAACCTCCGTTCGGCGCTCGGGTGCGATGCGCGTGTCATCCTTCAGCCGCTGCAACAGATCGTCCTGGATGTTCGCAATATCGATGAGATTCGAAATGTCCTGCACGAGGCGCTGCCGGGACTGCCGGCCCACATCTGGAGTGAAAATTGAGGCGTTCGCCCGGGCCCGGCCCAGGTATTCGATCCTGCGAGCAAGAGGCAAAGCAAAGGCACTCTGCGCAAGGTGGTACTGAACGTTGGCGGCTTCGTAGAAGCGCTGCGACTGGGCAAAATATCTCCAGAGTAGGTCCGCATGAGCGATGTCATCGGCTGACTTGCGCTCGAGGTATGTGACCACAAACGGAGAATTGTTCTGCAACAAACGATCGCTCCACCCCTGCTCGAGGTACCAGTCATACAAACTCGTCAAGAACACTTCGTCTGTCGAATCTGAGATCACGCCGTAGGCCTCATTCTTGCGTTTGGCAATGATTGTGAGTTGCCCATCAACCACACCCGGGTCATGCGCTGCAAGATTGTCAACGGCGATGATGACCTTGAATATCAAATCATAGCATTGCTTCCTGAAGTAAAAGTAGTCGCGTCGAGATTCCTGTGGCCGCGGATTAGCATGTTGCCTATCAAACAATGTCACGAGTGGACTCCTACATCTTCAGGACGGCCGTCCACAATCCATGACAATGCCATGTTAGCCTTGTCGGAACGAGCCGCGACGTTGAGAGCCAGCTGGATCGCGCCTGAAAATTGTCAGTTTTCAACATCCATGGTCGAGGTATAAGACTTACCTGCAAAGAATTGATTGGAGATGTAGCTTTCGACCGCCGAGACCAGGTAATCCATGGGAAGGCTGTCAGACACTTGTTGGAACAGATGGAGACTTTCATTCAGCAGATTCCGACCGATTTCCGAGTTGGCCCCTGCTTCAGTCGCTCTCTTCAACAACTCTTGAGCCTTGAAAATGACCACGTCCTCGGCACTGCAGAAGCTCCCGCACCGTCGTCTGAGTGCGTCAGCCACGGTCTCAACGTTAGAGCCCTTGGCGATGTTTCTATTTACAATCCCCTTCACCAGTTCTTTTGCGATGTCGTGACCCTTGCTGGTGCTGAAAAGCTCCTCAAATGTGAGCTTGAGGAAGCGCTGCTTCGACTCGTCGGGCAGAGTTGCAACAATCTCATCAACGCGCTCGTCGAACAGCACCAGGACGAATGAAATACCTTCAATGGTATGTGAAACCAATTGAACCAACGAATGCAGCGCTCTGTGTTCGGCTTGTAGCGCCGTTTCTTCCTGCTTCGTCGACACGCGCGCCAAGGCTTCAGGGCCACTCAATCCCTCAATGAAACTCTTGTTCGTCTTGAAGAAATCTTGCAGGGCAGACAGGTCACGTTGTACACTCTGCAGCTTCGTTGTCGCCACAGATGCCGAGATCGTCTGTGCACCATTGGGTCCGCTGCCGACCGTTGCGATTTCCTTCTTCCAAATCGACCGTAGTAGCCTTGACATGTAGAGAGCGATTCCCGCATGCCTGGGCGATAGGATAACCGTGTCGATGGCTGGTGTGGAGCTGTCTGCGACTGCATTTTCATTCACCGTCGGCCGGCCTCCATACTCGATGAACACTTTACGCGCGAACTCCAAAACATCAGGATCATTGATCTGAGTCAGTCGTGAATCCGTAGAGACCTCGACTCCTTGTCCACACGCGACTGCAAGCGCTGTCGCAAGAGTCTCGCTCCGGCCATACGTGCGGATGAAGTTCTTGACCTCGCCCTCGAGACCCTCATCACCGCCACTACCACCACCCCGAACCAATGCAGCAAACATGTCAACGAGTCGCCGCCGGCGAATCACATGAATACCAGTGTTAGTCAGAATCGCAATTTCAGCCGCGGCGCTGTCAAACTGAACGGCAAGCTCGTTGCCAAATCCTCCCGGGGTCGAGGCAGCCGCGCTAGGCGCGGAGCAGAGACCAACGTCCTCCGCCCTGCTACCTAAAGAGAGCCAGATGGCAGTCTCGCCTGCCTTTCCAGGGATGACATTCTCTTGGGAGCGAGCCACTCGGCCAGAGTCGGGAGAAGAGATGAAAAGTGTGTCGGTCTTTTGCGTGGGATCCTTGCATGTGAAGCAGAAGAAATACCCTGGCGGGTATCGCACAGTGAATCTGGTGGGGTTGAGAGAATGAATGGGAACCCTAGATGCTCCGGAGGTCTGAAACCGGGGCTGACCCAGCTCCACTGGGGTGGAAGGAGGATTGTCGAAAGGTGGAGTTTTCACATGATGCGCCTGCATGCTTGTCGGCGCATTCGTACCATTTGGAGCTGGCGACCAGCTATAAGACGCAGTCGCACTGAGATAGATACGGTAGCCGGTCGCGGTTGTGGCCATTAGATGGTATCTCGAGGCCTCGGCAGCTGGGATAGGGCTAATGGACACGATGGGAACTTTCGGGTTGAGGGTTTCGTTGGACGCAATGATGTGCCCAATGTTCGCGTAGATGTCCATGGCTGGTTTGGTAATAGCCAAGGCCAAGGTACCATCCGGTTTCATGTGGAAAACTCTAATGGTTGAAGATGACGACAAAGTATAGAGCAGTCTCCTTGTGTCGTCAATCTCCATCTGCTCCACCGTCTCAGTGGTCTTCTGAGTGAAACTCAGACTGGGCGTGAAAGCCGCGATGCGCGAACTGGTATGGTTGACTTTGGCGCATCTGCCTTGGAACCACCGTTCCTCCTGCTGATATGTGAGCTCATAGACGTCGTTGTCGGTAGAGCCGCCGAAGAAGATACGACCGGTCGCCTCCGACGAAGCGATCACATGGATATCCAAGCCACGAATAGACACCGACATGCCGGTCTGATACAAGCTGACTTGTCGCGCACCCCCCGGCGTCGTTTCACAACCCATTCCCAGCAAAATGACCTCGGCAGTTGTTGATATAACAAGAAGGTGGGTAATTGAAGGGAGGAACACTCCGGCGCGAGGCTTCGCCAGCTTGACGGCATTGATACTATTGGGCTGGTCCTCAAACCCGACCAGTTGTGGATTCGGATGCGTATAGTCCCAGATGTAGAGCGCGTTGTCAATAGCAACCCAGGCGTGATTTAACTCGGCGAAGAGACCCATGCTTGTCGAAACCTGTGCTCGATTATACTGATCAAAGATCTGATCTGGGATATTATACATCTTCACTTTCTGAAAGGGCGCCCATGACGGCGAGGTGGGGATGTCATAATCGGAAGAAAATCCTTCTGCGAGGTGACTGTCAGCCAGACCGAAAGAAGAACCAAGGCGATCAACATTTCCTTACGAGACAGGTAGCTATCCAGGTCGGGATACCGGGATTCCTGCACGAGCGTATCGTTTATTGTGCCTGCAGCGCGCTCCTCGATGCTCAGCGTTTGGCTCTGGGACTTCGATGCTGCCGGAGGAAGCTTCGGAAGAGAAGCTGGCGAAGCTCTCTCTGCCGGGGCAGGAGCTGGCTTGGGAGACATGAGCGACATGTTCGATACATTCTTAGGTGCGGGAGTCTGGAAGAATGCTCCAGGAAGATGTTTTTGAGGAGTCAGAGTCGGAAGATTGGGGTACGACATGGTTCTGTGCTGTCGCCGTCAACGGCTTAGGGAGAATATGTCGCGCTCCCCGGCGTGGTGGTACTTCGTTCGGCGTGGTAACGGTGAGGGAAGAACGACTTTAGAGGAAAAAAGAGAGGCTGGAGACCAAGCATAAGCAAGTAACTAGACGCCGTAGCAGATCAGGATTAGCATCAAAGAGTGTTTGTTCTCGTAAATTTATTATTATTATCGTATTGAGAGCCAATTGAGACAATGACAAAAAGCAGGTAACTGGCAGAATGGGAACTTCACAGCAGAAGAGAAACAAAATTGTGCACGGACCAGACAAGATCAACAGCCCCAAGCAGCTTTCCGCCTTTTCTGTGTTCCCCGACAATGATTTCATTCCAAGTCCTCAATAAACATTGTTAGTCTCCACCCATGAGATTGTGTTTATTCTAATTTTCTCCGCTCTTGTTTCTGATCAATTCAATCAGTTGCTTGCGCTTCAGAAAAGAAATGTTCAGAACTTTGAGGTCGACCAGTCGGCTGAACCTGAGCCCAGTGCGATGGAACTCGACCGCCAGTCCGGCTTCGCCGCCCTTAATGGCCAGAATTAGATCTGATCTCAAGGTTGCCATGAGGGCGAAGGATACGGCAAGGTATTTCTCATGCTACGTTCGAATCCGAAGTCCGCAATTGACGGAGTTACGTCCAGATTGAATGTCCTTCGCGCGCTCATCTCGGAAACAAATAACTCCGCAAAGACCTCGTCGCCGATTCAGACAGACTTGCAATTGCTGTCTCTCATTCGGAAGCGTGCGGCTGCGGCCAAGGAAGCAGCAAAACAATTTGCCGAAGCCGATCGGCCCGATTTGAAGGAGAAGGAAGATGCGCAGGTCACAATTCTGGAGGAGTATGCCGGCAAGGTGGAGACGATGAGCCTAGAAGACATCAAGGCTATTGTGTCGCAGGAAGTCTCGAAGTTGAAGGAAGCCGGCAAGAAGGTTGAGGTCGGCGCTCTACTCAAGTCTCTCTTTGCTCCTGGCGGTGCCCTGGACGGCAAGCCTGCGGAGAGAGCAGAAGTCGCGAAGATCGCCAAAGAGGCCGTCGCTTCCGCGTGAGAAGAAATGATGTATCATAGAACCCTTGTATTATGATGTAAATAGATATTAGTCTTTCCTCTCTTCCTTCTCTTATCCGGCACTCAGAAACTGCCTTGGGCCGCGGAACAGCGCGAGGTTTACTAACGACAGACTTGATTCCAGTCTCTGGGAAGAGGTCCTCCGACGCCAAGTGACATGCAAGAATCTTCATTGCAGTATATGACAATTTGTGTACATCAAGATCTCGAACACCAATGCGGCCAAAATGCAAATGCATAAAAATGCACCTGAAAGAGCCATTGCAGTCTAGAAAGTCAAGAATAAATCAAAGCAATTCCGCCCATAGCGGTCATCAAAATACCAAACCATAGCCATCTATCCGGGTTGCCGATGTGATCGCTCCGCATCAGGGTGTCCACGCCCACAGAAGACCCTATATCTCGGGCAATATGGCGCTTGCTCTTCCCGGTCTCCGAGCTGACCGGGTTTAAGGTCGTCGTGGGTAACATCTGAGGAGGTTTAAAAATAAGATACATTGGAGGCATCGGGGTCTCGTCGAATGCCTTGAGATCCAAGCGTTTGACATGATGGTACGAGTCTATGGAGACCGTAAATGACTGCCACTCACAGTTAGCAACAATCTCAGAGGGGTGGGGACGTTTTCCTCAACGTACACTGAAAGCCTCGGTCTGGTTGTATCTTGTGTACATGGCCACGTCCTTTGAGCATGGATCTGATACCAACTGGCGGCCGTCGACCGCGATTGGAGTCAGATGGATGGATCCATCTGGCATCACAGCATATTTGCCATGCTGCCACAGCATGATACCCTTAGGACAGGAAGGCGTTGTGGCTGGTGAATATCAATCATGTCAGTCAACAGCCTCCGCCGAGAAAGCTTGGGGAGCAACTGACGGTTGGCAACGGCCCGGTAATACGCCTGTTCATAGTATCCATCTGCAGTAAATGAATATGAAATGCCAGTAAGACTTGGTTCGAGCAGTTTGTCGTCGATCGGATCGTAGAAATCCTGCAAGATACGGCGAGACGTTAGAGATTGATGCAGGCCACTCGGGAAGATCAGCGACTGTGCGACTGCAGAGAGCCTACCGGACCTGTCACAACACTGCGAGACTTAGTTGTCCAAGTGCCAACCAGATCAGCAACACTGCTGGCCCTGACCACGGCGACGAGGAAGCTGAGCAGTAAGTATCCGACAATCATCTTTCAGGGTAGCCAAGCGAGAGCCTAGCAGCGTCAGGTAGCGCGAGGTGTAGCGAGGTGAGGAACAACTCGTAAAGGGAGGCCATGTTGAGCGACAACTTGCCCTTCATTGCAGTGAAGGAGGGAAACCATGGCTGGTATGTAGAATTACCTGGCCTTGTCGATCCAGCCATGCGGATACTCCACATAACAATGTGCCAAGACGTGGTGACCTTCGGGATTATCGGAGAATACCTAAGGCCAAATCGCATCGACGGAATACTGAACAAATCCACGCGCTTGTTGATTAGCTTTCATCACGCCTTGAAGTGTTCGAAGAATGCGCATTGATACCACACTCTGCCATCCGTAGCAATAATGATGGCTTCCGGTCTACAGACAGCTAAAAGGGACCTCCGCAAGAAGATCCGCGATGTTCTTCAAATAACCCCAAATGAGTCAATCGTTCATCAATGTCAGACACTCCCGTTATCGCCAACACATCACAGTGAGCTAACTGAGCATAGCCAGAGTTGCTGCGGATAAGCTATTCTCCCTCACTGAGTATCAAAATGCCAAGAGGATCGGTGTCTACCTGTCCATGCCTTCGGGTGAACTTTCAACTACGGCCATAGTCCAAGACGCCTTGACTCACGGCAAAGAGGTATTCGTGCCGTATATCCATAGCATAGACTCCCCGTCTTCGACGCAGAAGAAGACCTCCATCATGGACATGTTGCTTCTGCAGTCTATGGAAGAATTCAAATCTCTTGAACCTGATAAGTGGGGAATACCATCGCTCACCAAGGCCCAAGTTGAGAACAAGAGAAACTGTTTTGGGACAATAGGTGTCTCCCCAAGCACGGTGGAGGATGCTACGCAGAGATTCGAGGGACTTGATTTGATAATCATGCCTGGAATGGCTTTCGATCAAGAGTTCCGAAGACTAGGTCATGGTAAAGGTTACTATGATCATTTCTTGACGAGGTACTCGAAAAAGGTAGCCGAGAAAAAGACGACAACATCAAAAATGCCTTTACTCGGTGAGGAACAGCCGCATCCGAAACCACCCAGAACTCCCGTAAAATGACCTTACTAATTCCATATAGTTGCCCTTTCCCTCAAAGAGCAAATGCTTCCCTTGACTGAAGAAATACCCGTTGCGGATCACGACTGGCCAGTAGATATGCTCATTGTCGGCGACGGCCGCTTTCTTGTTCGCCAACACTGATGTAACCACTCGGGGAAAGAGTCTTCACGCAAGCAAAGAACCCGTCTATTCAATTAAGCACAAAACTGTCCTTCAGCGGCAAATCGTAAAGTATATGGCTGCGTGGAAATTGAAGCCGCCGTAGATGAATAAAAGCTTTTTCCTCCTGCCGTGGTAGAATCACTGGACCGCCTGGATGAGAGACACGTTGTCGCCCTTGAGCAGAATTTGACCTGTGATGAACGCGCGTGTTAGCAACACCACTCACTTGCGATATCCGGTAGTCAGTGGCAGCAGTTCATACCCAGGTTTCTCCGCTTCTCCTCATCGGTCTTTGTAGCCATTCTCACTTCCACCGCATCATCAATGACCAAGTTCATGAACTCATCGAATCCCTGGCGCATGTTTGTTTAGCTTGATAACTTGTTGCAGGGAAAGAAAAAGATCGTACTCTAATCTTGCCCTCTATCCGGAAAGCCAACTGCTCGTAGAGCCAAATAGAAACCGTCGTTCGTTGCTGCAGAAGCTTGAAGATGAAGTGAATTGGCGCAAGCAGCGTCTTGCGAGCACCTCCACCGCCTGCTCGGCCGGACATGATGGATACGCGACGTGAAAATTGTTAAAAGAACGTAGCTGGCACTGAAACCGACTGGGCGCTGTCCGATAGTGTCGTTGTAGTAGAATTAGCGTTGAGGCTCTGTCCGCGGTGGTGGTTATTGGGCAAAGCTGAGCTGGTTGAAGGAGGTTCCTTCACCCGCACGTTTTCTTTGGCCGCCTTGGGGGACGATTGCGGCTCACCAACTTTTCCGTTTGAGTTTCTCGTCACCACATCCCACTTTCCCTACTACGTAAGGACGGTTGCCCGATCTATCAGTCCACTACAATTATTGAATACCGGTGCCTGAAGCCCTCGTTTCGTCTCTCGTCTGATGCTCATTTAATGAGTGTACATGACATTTTCCAATAATTTTTGAGCCTTTCCGGCCGGATTGACCCCTCCACTTCCGTCTCCTATACACTAGATCAAAACATCCCACCTCCGTCGAACATGGCCAGTAAGGAAGGGGCCGCAGGACAGGCCTTTGGTCCTGTCCTTGCAGCAGTCGCTACAATGCAAGGAAACGTATCACGAAGTGAGAAGACACATGCTCATGAGTTCCTTGAAAAGTTCCAGAAGTCCGTGAGTTGGACCCCTCGATCGCACCCCACACGGATTCACAGAATTTCTGCCTGACACTTGATATTATTATCTAGATCGAAGCTTGGAGTATCACCCATGAGCTGTTACAGTCGCCCGATGTCCCTGTTGAAGCAAAGTTATTCGCAGCGACCACACTGAAAGGAAAGGTACAGCAACCTATGCCGTGGTCGTCAGGGATGGTGATATATAGAAATGCTGACCTTAATAGATCATATTCGATTTGGATCAACTACCGAACGAGTCTGTAGTTGCTTTGAGAGACTCTGTGCTGAACCTCCTCGTGGCTTATGCATCTGGTCCACGGCCGATACAGACACAGCTGTGCGTGTGCCTGGCGAGCCTTGCCATTCAGATGACCGAGTGGAAAGATGTCCTTGCTACCGTCGGCTCGGCTCTAGGAAGCAGCGCCGGCGACTGTGTCCTAGAATTCCTTAAAATCCTACCAGAGGAAGTGACGGAGGGTCGCAAAATCAATCTCAGTGTACGTTCCGGCAGAACCAACGCCTCACCACTCATAATCCAGTCTCAACGGATCGGCTTAATCCAGGATCAGTGAAACAGATTCTAATGCAGGTGTATCATTATAGGAAGAGGATCTTACGATGAGGACTAAGGAGTTGTTGGAAGACAATGCAGAGCAGGTGATGCATCTACTGATTCAATATGCCCAGTCATCCCGTAAGTACACAGCTGTCATTTCTCAAGGCGCTATATACTAATTCGTGCCCACCTCTTCTCGTTTAGCAACGGCATCGACCAACCCACGTCTCTTGGACTGTATAACCTCTTGGATGCGCGAGATCCCGGCCGCGAAAATTGTCGAATCGCCTTTGATGGATGTCATCTTGAAAGCATTGGACAACGATGTCTCCTTCGAATCGGCTGTTGATAGCATGTGCACTCTCTACAGAGATACGCGAGAAGTCGATGAATCGATGTCGATCATTCAGGCTCTATACCCACGGTTATTGGCTCTACGTCCAAAGATCGCGGAATTCGCCGAGGCAGAAGATACAGACGCATTCAAGGGTATCACCAGGCTTTTTGCAGAGGCCGGTGAGGCTTGGGTCGTAATGATTGCCCGCCTACCTTCCGAGTTCCGCGGTCTAGTGGAAGCGGTTCTTGAATGCTGCGCCCGAGACTGGGAGCACGACGCAGTTTCTCTTACTTTCGTTTTCTGGTACGAGCTAAAGCAATACGTCACACTCGAGCGATACGGAGACGCGCGTGTCGCTTTCACCGACGTATTCTCAAAGCTGGTGGACATCATGGTCAAACACCTTGAATACCCCCGTCCCGAAGAGGGCGAAACCGATCTATTCGGTGGTGATCGGGAACAGGAAGAGAAATTCCGTCAATACCGGCACTCCATGGGCGACGTACTCAAGGATTGCTGCGCCGTCATCGGTGTTACCGAGTGCTTGTCAAAGGCAAACGCGTTGATTCAACAGTGGGTCTCCAAGTACGCATCTCAAGCGAGCGACCAACATGTCCCTCACTGGCAGGAACTTGAGGCACCACTTTTCAGTTTGCGGGCAATGGGCCGCATGGTCGACCCCGAGGAAAGTACAGTGCTTTCGCAGATTATTCCATTGATTGTTCAAATACCCAATCAGGAGAAGGTGCGATTCCAAGCTATCATGGCGCTCGCACGTTACACGGAGTGGACCGCTCAACATCCCGAAACCCTGGAAGCACAACTCAACTATGTCATCTCTGGCTTTCAGCATAGTTCTCCCGAGGTCGTGCAGGCTGCCGCCTTAGCATTCAAGTTCTTGGGGACAGACTGTCAGAAGCTACTGGGAGGGCACATTACGCAACTTCATTCCTTCTATGAATCGGTCATCGATAAGTTGAAGCCGGCCAGCCAGGAAGAAGTCACGGAGGGTGTTGCCGCTGTTGTTGCTGTTCAACCACTTGACAAGATCTACGAAAGTATGAAGTTGTTTTGTGATCCCATCATGGCACGGATCATGAATCTGGCCAACAATGCGAGCGATGAGCAAGGCCAGCGCGCTGTTGCCGGTACGTTTGACTTTCATTTTCCACATATTGCGGAAGCAGTAGCTGACCAATCCCTATGCAGATCACTTGCAATTGATTACAATCTTTGTGCAAGTTGTGAATCCTTATGTTGGCCCGAACGAAGACAACCCGGCCGTCAAGTATTGCGGCGAGATCTTGCCCATTATGACGACGATTGTTATGAACTTCACTTCCTCCACTCCCATATTGGAGCGTGTCTGCCGTTGCTGGCGGTACATGATCATCTCGTACCGAATTGCGATGATTCCTCTGCTGCCCACGCTGGCCCAGAGCATTGCCAGCGGATTCGAGGCTTCACGGGAAGGATGCTTCTTGTGGGCCACCGATGCTGTTGTGCGCGAGTTTGCTGAAGGGGCCGAGTTCGTCGACCGGTCGACAAGCCATGCTGTCTTCCAGTTCTACGAACAACAGGCAGTTGCTTTTCTACGAATCCTGAATGAGCTGCCACCAGAAAACCTGCCCGATGGTAAGCTCTGTTCGTTTAGTAAGACTTTGTTATGGTACGCTAACTTTTATACAGTCATCGAGGACTTTTACCGGCTTTCTTCGGACGCTGTCCGGTTCTACCCCAAAGAGTGCATCACCTCGTCCCTCGCAGTGCCCATTTTTTCTGCGGCGCTCAGCGCCCTCACTCTCCAGCAGATTGATCCCCTGATTGCGACACTGCACTATTACCATGATCTATTCAGTTTTGCATTTGAAAAGCCTGCCGTCTCTGAGTTCACCAGCTCTGACGGGGATTCGTACACGAATCCACCTGAGGTCAGAGAGGCTGTCAAGCAGTTGATCCTTGCTCAGGGTCAAGTTCTTACCCAGAGGATTCTGACTGGGATGATGTTCACATTCCCTGGGGACTGCTTCGCGGACGCTTCGGGCGTTATGATGACTCTCTTTGACTTGGTGCCCCAAGAAGCTGGGGCATGGGTGCAGTCCACGCTCCAGATGCTCCCGGCCGGGACCATGAAGCCAGGGGAGGCAGAGCGGCTGCTGAAAGGCATCGCGGACAAAGTCCAGACCAGGGAAATCCGGAAGATCAGATCTCTACTACAAGGTAGGACCAAATCCCGAAGCTCCACAGTCTCTATTACGACTAACAGCATCTTACAGACTTTACTCATTCATATCGCCGACGAAACGTGGCGCCTCGTGAGGGCTTAGGCCGGTTGGAGGCTACTCGGTTCCGCTTCAGCGGATAGATTTGAGACCGGTACTTCAGACTGAGCATTTCCAAGTGAGAAGTTCATGAGCGGGGACCCATTATAGACAATCTCCATCATCCACCTTCACTCAGCCTCTTGGCAAAAATGTCCTCTGAGTGGTCGCCACGGCGACTGCATACGTCATGAGAGCAGGTAAGGGTCCATGGGGGATTTCATACTTTAGAATCCAACCCGGTATGTTCTTCCCGGCAACCATACAGAATCTACGGACGTTCAGAATCCACGCAACATGATGGATGAGCACTCCGAAACAACACATAAGGGGGCGGCGACACATGCCACCGTCCGGTCCTGTAAGATTTCGATACCATAGCATTTAGCAACCTTAGAAATGGAACGGCACAGATGCGACCCCAGACAACCAACTCCTCCTCTCTATGTTTTTGCTTTTTCTTCGTTTCTCTCGTCTCTCGTTGCTTTTTTCTTGAGCGTGGCGCCATGCAGGCCACGCTACTGCCGATATCGGCACTTCAATCTCAGAGAAAACAAGCCTACAGGCCGATCGTTGCCCCGGTACGCCAGCCAACTGCATTATCCAGGTAGATCTAACATTATTATGGTAAACGCGGTACGCTTCTATCTTGTGGGTCTAGCTTGACTCGTTGGCAGATGATCACCCTTGAGTCTTGACATGAAACGTAGCTAACAGGCAACTACAGCCTTACAGTAGAATGCCGGATCGGTTCACCGATGAACTTATAGTGAAGGCAGAGTTGCCATTGCCTAGCCATTCACAAGCCAACGGTCATGTCAACGGTAGCAGAGTGGCGATCCTTGATCTGTAGCGGCCTTACTATCTGGACCTCTGACCCTTGATTACACTGCAGATCATATTATCAAGTTAAGTCAGTCCTTGGGGTCCTCAGGCTTGCTCTCGATAGTAAGGAATAGAAATCGCAGTTGTTGTGGGAAAAGTAGGGCTATAGATGCGGGGTTCCATTTAGTATCAAAGAGTGACTTGGTTGCGTGGTGCCAGCAGAAGTACACTCAACTTGATGCTTAGACCACACTGATTTTGAATGCTGCATACTGCTTGGTCATTATAGACATTTAAGGCATGTTATAATCCAATGCTCCGCGGTCAATCTTGGTGTGGCTGATGAGAGGGACCAGGAGGATCAGATATATATTTCTATTTTGGGGCGAGTTATGTAGCTGGCTTCCCCGAGTCGGACACGCCAGGTTCTGGTTCTTTAGACTTGAGTACTCGATACTCTGGCAATGGTTTACAGGAATGACATCTCTCTGCTCAATACCGTCTGTCAGAGAACTAAGATGCACATTCTGCCGTTCAACTGTCATCACACTTGGTCCGCCACAGATATTGACAGAGCGCCTCGAAATAACCCAGTCTAATCCCTATTGGTGCAAGGTCGCAGCCTCACAGCCAACTCGCCTAGTCCTTAGTCCAGTTGGACTTCCATCGAGGTAAAATCGGCTACGGGCAAAAAAATATCATTGATGGACGAAGCGACGGGAGTTGGTCTCGTGACGGGCCGATTCTTGCTACGCAGTAACGGCACAACCTGCGCGGAAATCTCCCTACCATTGGCCTGAGACGCGGGTCTAGATTCTGGGCATATTGCTTTTCAGTCAGATACATTGTCCGACCCGGGAATAGCATTGAGGAGTCGCCAAAATAAGATTCCCCGGTACGCTGGTACAGCACCGGAGAGGCCCGTCGACGCAATAATGCAGAGAGATCACGCCATGATCTGAATGCTAGGAGCTAGGCTGGTGATGTATATGTCATGACGCCTTATCACACGTGGAAAGTCCTCTGTTGTAGATCTCTATCGAATGGCACCCACCGGACCTATCAACTATCATTCCATTATTGAATTTGTCCTGATATATTGGCATGTCGATTCCCTTTCCCATCTCCGCGGTCCTGGTCACGCTAAGGTCCCATTATTTGGGTCCGATCAGACTGGCTGAATCATGTAGTCTCATGATGCTAAAGAAGAAAGGAACACGGCTGATCGTATTAAGCTCCTGCTTCTTTGCCTGTTCTGGTTTGCTTCATACTGCTTGATTCTTATTGGACAATTGAATTGCCTCAGAAAAGGCACCATCTGGGAAATCACTGCGCCTCAGGGGAAACAGGAAAAGCCAGAAAATAGGAATTGCCGCGACAGTCGAGGTGGGAAGCTCGTTCTAAAATGAATTCCCCTCTAGAGTGAGTTAGATGGCCCTCGTGAGCGCCTGCTCGGAAGGACAAGTGGGCCACAGGCCGTATGTGTTTTCTTATGGGGATGCTCTACTTGGTACGTGGCGCAGATCTTCTTCGCATCATTGTACCTGGAGTCTGGAGATTGGAGTATGGAGGCAACAGGGACAGCATCGTACACGACCACGTAGACACCTGCATGAGATCTCCTCTGTCTGCATGGAATACAGCACCGCATTGGAGACTTGACTGACGGAGCCGGCACCTGGTTCGCCCGGAAGTACTGCGATCATTCCACCCGCTCGACTATTCTCGATATTCTTGGGCTAGAGGAATGATGATGGTCTGACGAAAGGGACTTTTGTTGACTCTGTCACTTAACCGCCGCTGCCGCAACTCATGCTTCACGAAGCTCGCCTAATACTCCTATTGTGCCATTGTCAGGACCGTGACACTCGACTCGTCTTCTATTATTTTCTGATCCCCTACGATCCGGTTCCATTAGCGCCAGAAACTGTGCGCCCGAGGAGATCATATTCATCCCAAGATCGGAGACTAAGGTGGCGCCGTGGTCCATTTGTTGGATATCGACTGTCGGGGCCAGGATTATGAATCGATGACTGGCTGGAAACTAATATCTACATGATTCTAGCTGGATTCTGAGCGTGTTCGATGCAGGACTGGAGGACCAATGATGGCCTGTAGAATGGCGAGATGATCTCGCACAAAGGCACGAACCCTGTTGCTAGAGTCCGAGGGTAGTTGACCATGCGCTTCATCGCAGCAATTGGCATCTCCCGTTGCTTTTTTCCCTCAGTCCTGCTTGTAAATTTCGTGTCAGAGTGTAGACTAAATACTCTTAAGTTTTGATTTGATGTGATCTGCGAGTATAGTCTACATCCGCGACAAGTGAAGAGGAAAAAGAAATACAGATGCCGATGAATGCCCCACCTCGTGCTCAGGAAAAAGCTAGAGTCAACAATCCAGCGCACTGATCTCGTTCCTCGTTCAGACCAGCTGGATACCTAGAAGTTGCCTCTCAATAAGAAGACTCATTCTCCCTCTCCATTGCCATCGGAAATTGCGACTGACTTTACACCGGCTCGGCTCTTCTCTCTCTCTCCAGCCAAGACAGTTGTTCCTCTTTCCCCTCCCCGAGTCCGCCCTCCAACGATCCAACCACCGGCTAAATTGTCACACCACCTCACCTTATAACCACGACTGACGATTTGGCTGCTGAGATCATATCACTCTCATCTTCTTCTATATTTGTCTAGCTCGAGTTTATCTTCTATATCAACAAGATATACCTCCTCCGTTCTTCACCAACTCTTCGGATCCCCTGCGAAACCTTTTCCCCACGGGGTTCGGCCGGCCGCCTTGGTGAAAGTCCCCCGCGCACAGGCCGTCCCGTCCAGATCTTTGTCACCTCCGACCTCCGTCCCGCCTCCTCCAAAACTTTGTCATGGCTCGCCCCGACCGACTATCTCCTTCACTGTGAGACCTCGTCGCCTGCGATCGTTTCCAAGGCTCGGTCCTCCGTCCGCAGTCGGATGGTCACACTCGACACAGACGAAGTTACCCCAGGTCCACTACAGGGTATCGGATAAGCTCGACGACGCAAGATCGGGAACAAACCGCCACTACTGCGAGGACAAATCGTGCGCATACCCCACGAGTTCTCCGCATCTGTCACACGATATGACGTTCGCTGTTGGTACAGTGACCGGATTGGATCAGGAACTCGACTACAAGCGAAAAGGACCGGGCGATAAGGAAGACGCCATGGAGACCGACGCCCTGCGAGCGGACGGCGCGCCGCGCAAACGCAAGAGGGCCCGGAAAGTGAACTCGGATCGGAAGTTTGAATGTACACATGAGGGCTGCGGCAAGAGCTATTCGCGTGCCGAACATCTCTACCGCCACCAACTGAATCGTATGTCGGACGTCTTCCAAGCGCAAGCCCGTTTCGGTGGATGCGGATGACTGATGTATGACTTGCTCTAGACACTCCCAAGCAGATTTATCGATGCGACTTTCCGGACTGCTACCGGACATTTGTACGACAAGATCTCTGCGTTCGGCACCGCGAACGGCACACGACGCAAGGCTCTCAGCTTCAGAAACGGGACCACTTCGCGCAAGCAGCGTCGCAGAATAAACAACAAAGCCAGCTGCCTCACAATGTGGTCGATACTACTGTTCCCCAGATGGGCAGCACCCAGCAGCCGCCAATCGTGCCTGCGACTACCATTGATTTGACGTCGGCGCGCTCCGCAACCACCTTCCCTGAAGGTGGGGTGGAGACTCTGACACCTCAGTCGGCCAATGGATCTAGCAAGCATATGTCAGTCTCGTCGTCGGCATCGATGTCGCTCGGCCGACCCCTCAACTACCAACCTTTGGTTACTCAGCATGGTGTGGGGACACCAGACTCGACTGCATCGAGGTCTAACAGCTTGAGCAACCATAGCATTAATTCTCCTCCTGGTCAAGCAAATGCTCCCTTCAGCCCTCCAGCCCTGCAAAAGCCAGCGTATGTGCCGCTCACCGGCCGCCACTCCATATATCCGTCGGGCAGCCCCAGTAATCAGACATGTCAACTGACCGGACTGAATCCCATTTCTAGGACAAGACCTCAAGATGCTACAGCATATTCCATGTCAGCCGACGTCAACGGCTCTTCAGTAGTTCAGTCGCTGCCGTATGGCTCTCCGACGGGCCTACACATGTCTGTCGGTGGATTTTCCGACCTTTCGATGAATACCGTGCCGCCCTCCACCCAGGCGTCGCTAGACAGATCAACCAGCATTACTGGATTAGATTCCCTGTCGGGGATGATTGCTTCCGCAGATCCTGCATTCGACCCAATGGCCTCTTGCGTCTACCCGATTTTCGGCGGCGAAACATACAACAACCGCTCCCCCTTTGCGATGGCCGATGACTTCACCGCGTGGCTGTTCAATGAACCTATTCCGGGATCGTCGTCCCTGGCCTATCCTCCCACGGCTTCCATGATGCCGAACTATCTGGATCCCACACAGCTGCAGAATCAGTTCCTCATCAGCGAGCCAGCGTTCGGCAGTTTCCTGAATGGCGTTCTTCCGCAACATCCAATGAGTGTCACCAGTATCTTAGATCCAGGTTCGCCCCAGGCGATCATGTCGGAGGAGAAGCGACAGGAGTTGCTGCATCTCATGGCCACTCGGTTCAATGAAGCCGCCTATTCAGCGGTGGCGAAGCGCAAGGATGCTCTAATGGACGGAGACGTCGACGATGACAGCCATGTTCTGAGCTTGCGCATGATGCAGACATATATCGGTTCTTACTGGTATCACTTCCACTCGCAGCTCCCCATTCTGCACCAACCTACATTTGTCGCGGATAAGGCGCCAAATCTACTTCTCTTGGCCGTCATGGCCATTGGTGCAGCCACCCTTGACAACATCCATGGTCAAGAGGTGACCGAGACGGCTGCGGAACTGGCCAACTTCATAGGGTGGCATCTGCGATGGGAGATTTTCATGGATGCGGATTTCCGACCGCCTGCCAAGCTCTGGGTCTTCCAGGCCCTACTCCTGCTCGAGGTGTTTGAAAAGATGTACTCGACTCGCGCATTGCACGAGCGCGCGCATATCCATCACGACACCACCCTGACGCTGATGCGCCGCGGTAGCTCATTGATCGGCCGCTCCGCGCTCGACTCACCCGCAAGCTTCAGAGATGACCGGCAGACCCGGTCCACGACAGGGTCTGCTTCGAATTCGGAATTCGCTGCTGACGATTCCTGGACACACTGGATCAAGGCAGAGGCCACCAGACGGGTTGCATTTGCGGCCTTTGTGCTAGACTCAACGCATGCCACTATGTTCGGACATTCGGCGAAGATGGTGGCCCATGAGCTCCGACTCCCGCTGCCCTGCGACGAAGGCTTGTGGTCCGCCACCAGTGCCGCCGAAGTTGCGCGCGTCCAATCCAGCCTGCATGCAAACGGTGTCAAGCCGACCATGTTTCTGGACGGGCTCAAAAAGACGCTCAACGGACAGCGCGTTACCACAAATGCCTTCGGGCGCACTATCCTGATGGCCGGTCTGCTTAGTGTCAGCTGGCACATGAATCAGCGCGACCTGCAAGTCAGCTCGCTGGGCGTTCCGCAGGCCCTCGGTGGCCGAGACAAATGGCGATCAGCGCTTCTGCGAGCTTTTGATAACTGGCGGCGCGATTTTGACGAGGCCCTGGCTCAGGTAGGACCTCCTCCGTTTCCTAACCAATACCGGCGGCATTCTCTCGAAGACGAGGGCGTTTCCGAATCCCGGGACGTCTTGCACGGCCTGGCTCACATGGCGTCACATGTCGACATTGTGGACTGTCAGATATTTGCAGGAGCGGGCCGACTCATGGGGCGATCGATCACTCCACGGGACTATAGCGCTGCCCGTGAGAAGATGACCGAACGATGGGCCACCAAGGCGTCAGCGCGAGACGCCACGTTTTATGCTCTCAAGTTTCTCTCCGAATGTCTTTTGAATAACCGGAGTGTATCCGAAGAAAGCGGAACCTACTCCGGACGCGATGACTATCTGCTCAACCGGCCATGGGTCATCTATGTCGCAGTGCTGGTCGTTTGGTGCTATGGATATGCGCTCGACGGGCCAATCGCCTCGCCTCTGGCGCTGGAAACCGTAGCTGAACAGCGACGCGACATGGAAGCCTTTCTCCGCCGGGTTGGCGGGGTGCGTGAGCCCAACGAGTTGGCGACGATGAAGGGTCGCAACCAGTGTCTCGGCCTGTTGATGATTTTGCAAAATAGCTTCGCGAACACTAGATGGGAGCTACTCTCTGAAGCATCCAACCTGTTGCAAAGTTGCATCAACAAGCTGCGGAACCAGACGCAGCGGACGAGCTGAAGCCTTGACATTTGGGTATTCCCAGCATATAGTTCATGCGCTTTCTTTCTGGAGGACGGTCTGCCATGTTATGATTGATTTATTGTTTGCATCATGTGATACCACGGGTTGGCGATTGCTTTGTATTCTGTTGATAGGGATATCTAGTATGGAGTATATATGGATCTTTCTCTACATGTATTTGACTTGACTTTTCAACCAGTCCATTCCAGCCTTGCATACATTTAGTGCCAGAAATAAGCTATGTCATCTCATCTGGATCGTCGGGGTCAGTCATCCACCCTTGCTGGTTACCACAACAACCACCCGCCTAAACACCGCCAAACCCACACCAGGCCGGCCCAACTTCTAATCTTCACTCCTCCTCGCATGATCATCTCTCAATCGATTATCTACGCCGTCTTCATCGTGTTTGTAAGCGTCTATCATTGTTTACCATCTTAACAATATATTTGTCGCAGCCATTGACTCTACCTTTCTTTGTTGCAGCAATACCGAATCAACCCCTGAAACGAGAACATCAACCATGGTACGTCTGGAATCCTCCTCGACACCAGCACAGAACAATACGGAGGAATGTCGCATGTGGATAACCTCACGAGGAGATCGGAAGTGAGACTTGAAACTGCATGCAATTCCTCCTGTCCTGTTGCTACTTTCCTCCCTTGCGTCGCGCCGTCTTTCTGTTTGGTGTTTTCCCGTTGCGTTGCTGCCATTCTCGGATCGCCGCCTCTCCCCTCATCTTCACGGCCTGTAATCATCCAGTCAGTGGTTCTGGTTCCGTCTCTGGTTCCGAACAACTGAACTTCGCTCCGTCATTTCATTTCCACCCCAACTCCTCCCCTTCATCATCGTTTATCCGCTATTTGCTGGAGATAATTACTGCTTGAAAATGCCTCGCTCACCTGATTCTCACAACGACCAGGCCTCAACCAACTACAAGGAAGCGTTCTCGCTTTTCGACAAGCGCGGCACGGGAAAGGTATCGCTCGAGTCACTCGGTGACCTGCTGCGCGCATGCGGCCAGAACCCTACCCTCGCGGAGATTGCAGATCTGGAGAAGAGTGTCGGCGGAGACTGTGAGTTGATTCTGGTTTCTGGATCTCGGTGTAGCAAACTAACAATGCGCTAGTTGACTTCGAGTCGTTCCTGAAGGTGCTGAACCGTCCTGGTGGATTCCGGGAGCCCGGCGAGCCCGAGGAATACTGTCGGGGATTCCAGGTGTTTGATAAGGATATGACTGGGTTTATTGGGGTGGGGCAGTTGCGCTATAGTATGTTGCTCTGCTGCGCGATCAGCTGGCTGTGGGCTAGGGTGCTGACTACTGTAGTTCTCACGAATCTGGGCGAGAAGATGTCGGACGAGGAGGTCGATGAGCTGCTGAAGGCGGTTGATACCAGCTCTGGCGAGATCAACTACACCGGTATTGCCTCTTCTCCGTTACCCCGCTAATAGACAATGGCTAATTGATACCGCAGACCTCGTCCGCACGATCCTGGCCAACTGAACGATTACGATACCCCCCCTTGATGCTTCCACGATGGTTTTACGATGTGCGCTGCGCGTCCGTCCACGCAGTCGGTGACTTGTTGTCGGCTCCGCTTTAGCAATTAGTTTATATTCAGATAATATGAATTTGTACTGTATCCCCTTGTTTATGACTGTAGACGAAGATGTGCACCCGTAGGACCCTATTGAGCAATCCACTCACTCCACTCCCGATCCATCGCCTGCATCTTCTCCTCATCACCCATAATCTCCGTCTCCATCAACGCCCCAGGAAGTAAATATACAACCCGCGGCTCCTGATCCGCCCCTTCCGCCTCAACTACATCCTCCCCCTTCCCATGAGCAACAGGGAAATGCACCGCATCCAAAAAATACCCCACCACAACCCGACACCGCCCACACCGCAGGAACCGCCTCTTCTCGAACCCGTCTTCCCGACGGATCAGCGTCGCCTTGCGATCGGGGAGAGTTGTGGATAGCAGGATCGTGTAGTGCTTCTGTTTCTGTCTGCGCCTTTGCCTGTCATCCTGTCCTTCGCTTTCTGTTTGTTCAGTTCGTTTTGGTTCGGGTGAGGTAGTCGCGTCTAGCTCCTCCTCGTCGTCGTCATCTTCGTCCTCGTCAGCGTGCGGAAGAGGGAGAATCAGCGCGTTATCCTGCGCTGGGGCTTTTCGGCGCGGGAGGGTCGCGATCGTGCGCGTTGTGGCTAGGAGGAGGTGGTTGCAGAAGCGGCAGTGGTGGGTGTGGACTTTTAGGCGTTGTTGCTGTTGCTGTTGCTCTTGGTGTTGGTCGTCTTGTTGATGAGGTGCGGGGGAGCGGGATGGAGAGGCGGAGGGGTTTGTGGTTGACATTGTATTTTCTTTTGGTGGCGTGAGTGTGAGTGTTGTAGGTGGTTATCTGGGCCGAAGTTGAAGTAATGGGGAGAATTTATGTGAAGTAGTGATGTACGGAGTAGCCACTGGGGTGGGTGTCTTATCGATAAGATAGATAGCTACATAGCTACGCAACACTTTACGCCGGGACCGAGTTACAATATAATACAGGTAGAATAGCGCCAGCTCCTCCAGATGTCGACCAATATGCCCTCAAAGGTCACCTGTGGTTGAAGCTTGGCCTGACATAAGGGGCAGATGAAGCCATTTCCAGCTACAGCCATTGTACCTCAAGCATATGACCAAACCACTGCGTCTGACTCTCGTAGAGCCTTTGATGGAATAGTACAGTCCTTTGATTAACCAACATACGGCCACAGAGCAAAACTCGGAAAGGGGCCGTTCGAGGGAATTGAAACAGACTTGACGAGGCTCGCAGACAGAAGGAGCAGAAATGACGGCCGGGTATGACCAACTGTGTTTCTGTGAGACGGATTCCAGCTCTGGTGGGCCCCGGACGTCATACGCAGCAAGCTTGATCATGACACTTGGTGCAATCTCGGTCCCAAACCCGCCAAGAGAGTCACTGGGCCAAAAAGCCATTCAATGTCCCTACTGCTTTTATACCATTTTCACTGAATACCAGGAGGGCTGGGCTTGCCAGTGGTCTTCCGGGATCTGATCCGCTCGCGATATTTTAAGATAGCCTTCTGCCTCGTCATAGCGGTACTGAGTCGGTTAAGAGGTCACTTTCGACATGAGGATACTTGTGCGAGTTGTGGCGCTGGGCCCATGGTTCGAAAAATGATGTATTTTCGGAGGCGATCGTGGTCGGCGAGCCTGCGGATGGCCATGGAGATCTGGAATAGGAGATTTATTATATCAACAGATGTTGTATCTCCGTCATGCTATCCGTTGTGGTACTGGCGTCACCTTCGTCGTCGAATTCAATATCGATATTCTTTTCTCCTCCTTCGTCAACCACCTCCCTCACTCATTGCAGGACCTGCAACATCCGGTTCAAGAGTTTGGTGGTCTCCTTTTTAGATGCGAAGCATCGCGAAGTCGATAGTCAGTGATCCCTGGCCGACTTCATGCGCGCCATTGTTTCCCGACCAGACATGGAATCACTAGCTCCTCAAGCCAGCGCTGATGGGAGACTTCGGTTATATACTGGGTGAGGGCATCCTAGTCTGTCAATGCCGTGAAGTCCTTCAGGCACTGATTTAGCACTCTGGAAATACCGTCCATTATTGAGAAGTGTAGAGGAAATGGGAATGCTGGATCTTTGTCAATAGGTGTTGAGCGATTGCATGTATATAGGAGGCTAATTGCGAGGCCGGCGCCAACGCAAGGCTGAGGCTGACTGCGGAAAACTCTTGTTATTAAATCGTCAGGCTGCCCATCTCACATCCATATCATCCTTCCATCAACTGTCTCACCAATATTCAAGCTAGCCTGTGATGACTGGAGCGGAGGTTGCGGGCTTGGCTTTGGCCGTCTTACCTCTGGTGGTCAATCAGTTGGACAACTACGTCCGTGGGTTGGAGAGTATCAAAGGACTGCGACGATACCGACGGGAGTTGGAGGGGTATTCCAGCACGTTAAGCGCCCAGTATGCCATTTTCCTCAACACCCTTGAGATCTTCCTACAGGATGTCGTCGACGACCACGATGATCGATCAGAGCTGATCAGCAAACCGGGTGGCCCTGGGTGGAAAGATGCGCAATTCCAGAGGAGGATGTCTGAGAGGCTGGGTCGGGACTACAATGTCTTCACGGGGACTCTGACGGGCCTCTGCGGCCTTCTAGAGGGGCTTTCCAACAAACTCGACCGGTATACACCTGACTACTCGAAGGTATAAATCCACTCCGGAGAGACCGTCCTTCCCAAAGGCTAATCGAGTCTGAGTTTCAAGGCTGCGGCGATCAAGTCATTATGCAAAATAAAATTCCGCAACATACTGTCCAAAGCGATCTATGAAGATATGCTAAACAGGATCGACAAAGCGAACCAGATTCTCAAAACCCTGAGCGATCAGTCACATCAACTGGCTCAAACCAGATCAGGTCCAGCCCGGTTGGAAGGCAGCCTGAGAGGCCATCAAGAGACCCGGCGGAATGCACGAGCTTTACAGGATCGTGTGGTGCAGGACCAAGGCCTGAAATCCCCATGCAGAAACGATCACACAGTCTGTTGCCGGCGTGATACGACCATCCAGGGATCCCGCGGTATCCAATCCAACCTTAGACCGGCTAGAACTCACGAGGAAGTCGGCGGAGTGGGACAGGATGCACAGAGTTTGAAGGAACTGTTTCATCATGAACCAGTAACTCCCTACAACATCAGAGAGAGTTATCGTGCATCAGCCGGGGCAAACAGTCCTTCGGTCATGGACACTCTCACGACTAACTTTGCAGAAATGGGGACACGTTTTCTAACCCAGGAATCCCGCGGCCTAAAGAGTGATATCTTTGAAAGTCATAATCATTACTCAGCAAGCCCTCACAGGCATCACCAGCATAATCTATATCCAGTGCCTGGGTATAGTCCACCAGACTTGACTCCCATGCATAATCCTAAGGCGCATCAAAGTGCCAGTGGCCACCTGATATATCCTCCTATATCTAGAGTAGGTTCAGGCCATGCAAGAACATACAGCACATCTGAACAGAGCAGCCTTTTATTTAAGGTAAGTGAATTTGCAGTCCAGACACAAAATATACCTAAGTAATAATGCAGGCCCTACAAAATCAGAAGGCTTACGGTATCCGCGGAGAATCATATGAGGTGTATAGCCTCCCTCTTGATTTCCGTATGTATAACATACTGCTTATAGCCTATCTTGGACTATCTAATGATCTCTAGGCTACCAAGTTCAGATATCTCCTGGGGAGTTCTTTGTTGTTGGAAGGGTAAGGATACAGAGCCTTTAGATAATCTCCTCCATACTATATACACTGTCTGATAACTCATACAGGTCTTCGCAATGCTCTGGCACGACGGCAGAGGACAACAAGAAACTGTAATCTCAGACTTCATCAGCAAGAGCAATTTCACCCGAGGCAGATTTGGAGAGAAGATTTTCAGTGGTATTCGGCACATGGTGGTTGTTAAAGCAATGAGCGAAAGTGCCTGGTGTTTGTAAGTACACTATTTAAAGAGCTATCCTACCAACCAATGCTAATTATTCTGTTTAGGCCCATCACCACCTACGGTGGCCAAGGAGTGGCTAAGCCAGGCGTTGACCCAGCAAAACATGCCATTGTATATATGCGGGGATCTACGCCGACCTGCAGGGCTAATGAGCCAGAAATGATCAAGGAACCCTTAGAGGTTGAACCAGCAAGCCCTAATGAGAAGCTTGATAAGATACATCGTCTTAATTTCGGCAAGGTCTACACTGTTGAACATAATGTCAAAGTACGACCTATTGGGATGATATCCTGTGGCTCAATGGCCAAATTCAGAGGCTATGCGAGTAATGAATTTAGACTCGACATTTGATGCAGCTTTAAGATCATTTTGAGGTGTCCTACTCTCATATGATCTAAGAAAATTGATTGCTTTTGGGCTCCAGTTAGGAACTGCCTACACTTGCTAAGTCCATCTCTAAAATGATGCGGGTGTAATGTGACTGGAGAAAAGCCTGATAAGATTACATTAGAGACTAGAATATAATTACCAAAATGTTATCTATGGATCATTGTGGCCCTGATTATAAGATAAAATTAGAATTCAACTAATGATCTGATGGAAGCCAATAAAATTTCCATGAGGCAAGTCTTATTTGAGATCCAGAGCCGCTATTCACAAGAAATACGCTGCCTTCAGATAGAGCTTAATAAGGAGAAACGCATATCTGCTAGCAGACAAAGTGTGATTATTAAGACATTGCAAAGGACAAAAACAATGCTGAACAAGTGAGGGATGGCAGCTACTAATCCAACAGAAGCTATTGAGGAGGTGGAGCAATCTAAAGCAAGGGTTTACAAGGTGGATGAAGGAATACAGTTCAAGAAGAATATCAGATTTTCAGCAGAGAATAGTTGCAACACGGCCTTGAGAAATATACTCAAGGTCGTGACCGTCGAGTTTTAATTGGAAAGCGACATTAACGAACGAGGAAATGAGTTATTAAGGGTATGAAGAACTGAAACAAAACTAGTTAAGGCCAAGAAGACATTAGAAAGCGGATTCAACAACTGCGCACTGGAAAGATAAAATTAAATACCAAGAATGACTACTTTTTTTAGCTAGAAGCAACACCGAGGTCCTTTATATAGCCATTTTGGAAGGGCAATTATATCTAGGCGAGTTGAAACATCTCCGAAATGCTATACCGCTCCTAGTAATTCACCGTCACCGAAGACTACGGAGAAGCCACTGGGGTGTCTTATCGACAAGAGAGCTAAAGGTAGCCTACGCATCACTTTATGCGGGACCGAGTAACAATGCTAATATAGGTACGAAGCGAAGCGAATCCTTGATTGTTTAGCTTCTAATCAATTGATGTAGACCGACTAAGCCAGCCCCAATTCCTTGTAAAAGGCGTCGGTCTTGGGCTCGCGGCCGAGGAAGTCGGTCAACGTCTTCATCTCGTCCTGGCTGCCGCCCTTCTCGAGGACGCCGTAGCGGTATCTGCGACCGGCGGCTGGGTTCATCGGGTCGTCCTTGAAGACGGTGTAGAACATGTCGGCCGAGTAGACTTGGGAGCTGCGGTCGATTAGATGCTTGCACGTACATCAGAGAGGAAGAAAGGAGTTACCTGAGATATCCGTAGTATCCAGCGTCATACCCTCCAATCAAGTGACCAAAGGTTGCTTCGCCGTGGCCCCATTCGTCGCCCAGTCCTAGGACCTCTGGGCCGTCCTGCAGCGCAATCTGCTTACGCAGCTGGTTGTATGTGGTGGAGATGGGCAGCTTCTGGATCTGCTCGTGGCTTTCGGCTTCGTGCACCGTCATGTCGAAGATGCCAAAGTGCAGCTGGCGGAGGTTGAACAGCGCGTCGTTGACGTGCTTGGTCCGGATCAGGTTCTCGATGACTTCGTCGGGAATGCGCTCGGGCGGCTGGGACTTGCCGTTGGCCTGTTCTTTCCATGCGGCGAGGTACTCAGGCGACAGCGTCGAGTAGTGTTTGCTCAGGGACTTGAGCTGGGACGGCGTCCAGCACCAGTTCTCCAGCATCTGACTGGGGGCTTCCACAAAGTCCCGGACAGTGCTGGTTCCGTGGAAGCGTGAATAGATCGTCTTGGAGACGAGGTCGTGGATTCCATGCCCGAGCTCATGGAACAGGGTCACCACCTCGTCATGCTTGAGGAGACTAGGTTTCTTGGCCGTAGGCTTGGTGAAGTTGCACACCAATGCAGTGGCGGGGTAGCGCCGCTTGCCGTCAGCGTCGATGAAGCCCTACAATTGTTAGCCAAGGGATATTAACTTCATGTAATTCACCTACCGGCTGAAGGTTGAAGTTGGCCGCGTGGCCGTACTTGCCAGGGCGGGGGAACAGGTCCAAGTAGAGGTAGCCCACGAACCCACTGCCCTCGCCCTCGTCATTCCAGACGCTAAAGACCTGGACATCTTCGTGCCAGACGATATCGCTTCCCTTGCCGGTGGGCGCAACCTTTTCACGATCCTCACCGGTAATCTCAACGAAGACAAGGCCAAACAGCTCTTCGAAGATCTTCAGCATGCCCTCGATGGTCGTCTGCAGGGGAAAGTATTCGGCGATCAGTTGCTGATCCAGCGAGTAATCCTTCTCGAGCATGAGGCGATCGTAGAAACGGTGGTCCCATAGATAGTAGCGGCCATCAAAGGACTCGCCGCGAGACTCGAGATCTGCCTTCTTGAGCTCCAACAAGGCCTTGATCTCCTTGTGTCCTCCCGCAGTCAGACGCGACCGCAAGTCTCCCAGGAAGTCGTCAACCGTCTTTGGGGTCTTGGCCATCTTGTCTTCAATGCGGAACGCCGCGTGATTTGGGTATCCAAGCAAACGAGCAGCCTCGTCACGCAGGATGATGGCCTCCCGGAACAGAGGCACGTTCTGGTTGCACTTGTTCTCGTTCTCGATCATCAGCCGCTTGCGCGTCTCCGCGTTCTTCGCATACTTCATGGTCGGGAACAGATCGGGATACTTGAAGGTCAGCCAGAGCTTGCCTTCATGCTCGCCCTCGCCCTTCTTCAAGCCAGATAGAACGTCTTCTGGTACGCCGTCGAGCTCCTCGGGTGTGAACCAGATTCCACCGTTCTCCTCGTTCAGGTTCTTCTGGAATTCAATGCTAATCTGGCTCAGACGCTTCTTGATCTCCTTGAAGCGATCTCGCTTCGGTCCGGCCGGAAGGCCCAGACCGTTGCGGATGTAATCCTTGTGTTCCTTCTCCAGCAATCTCCGGGACTCCGGGTCGAGGCTCTCGTTCTTCTTCAGCACAGCATCGACGAGCTTGAATACGTCTTCACGCATCACAGTCTCAATGAAGAACTCGTCCATCAACTCCTCTGCCTTGGATGACGCATCCCGTAGCTCCTGCTCCGTCGACACGGCCTGGTAGAAGCTCAAGATGTGGGATTCCAGCGCCATGGTATTCTCATCTTGGGCCAGAGGCTTCAGCACCGAATCGAAAGTCGCTGACTCAGGCTTGATGTTCGCAACGACATTGTCCTGCACTTTGCGGGAGGTCTCGATGAGGCGCTTGGCGTCGTCGACGATGGACTGAGCAGTCGCGGTAAAGAGGGGCGGGGCCTGCGGGGGCCGACGCAGATGTTCGGGAGCCATACTGGCGGTGGTGAGGGACTTGCGAAGATCGGTCAATGCGGAATTGTAAACGGTGGTAGTGGTAGGTAATCGAGAGCCACGAAGCTGGCTCAAGACCGAAGAGAGTCTGAAAGCGGGGGAGGTGAGGCGGAGAGGAGGAGCCACGGTGACAAGAAGGACGCCCGCGAGGAGGACGAGGACGTGCAGATATAAAGCGCGAGAGAAGAGTGGACTAATGGTGACGGTAGAGAGGGGCAAATCGCTAGGACAAGGCGGGGTAGACCTTTAGCTTGGAGTAACAGATTATAAATAATCAAATGGCGCAACGATAGCCACGATCTCAGTAGACGATAATCAAAGCTTTGTTTCCGATGGAGGGCTCTCTAACTCCGCCCTCCTGGCTAGCAGTTCATTACTTGATTGGGTTTAGTATTCCTATTTAGGTGTAGTATCATCATCTGTATACTCCATATAGTCTCCTCTATTTCGTAGTAGACTCTATCATGATCTAGTACTACCTTACAATATCTTCATCTACACTTTCCCAGCTGCTCAATCATTAATCGGTAAGGTATTATCATTAGCCAACCTACTCCATACTCTGCTTTACTGCTGTTGGGGGTAGACCACGGGCTGGGCTGCGATCCCCACTCGGCAAAAGACCACGATCATCAAACCATGCGGTCAAACCATAATCAGCTAATACACATATAAATAGTACTCCGTACGACCCTCTCGCGTCTGGAGAGAATATATACTCCGTAGCCTTAACTGTGCGGAGTTATCTACATACTTTCATGTGATGTGGTAGGGCCTAACGCTCCGCATATCCGATCAGTGGTCATTGTTCATGTACGGCGGCTCTATACCTCGCCTACTGTATTAAATAGTACCTTATGCTTTAGATCGGTTAGTGAAGGTCTAGAGACAGCATCAGAAGCCTTTGGCCGTGGTCACATGCAATTTGTCCGAGGCAGCGAATACTTGGCTTAAGGACTTTCAGCTCCTAATGATAACAGCGGGTTACTGCAGCATGGTGAAGGGGCGTAAGGAGGATTTAGCTCGTATGAGGCAGACACTGGCTGAGGTGCAAGGTTTAAAGAATTGACCGCTCAGGCTACTAGGCATGGCGTGAGGCACGCTAGCAGTGACATTGCTAAAGAGGCAGCAAAGTCTCGATTGCCAGTTCTATCAGGTCTCTGACTGTATGGCCGCAAAAGAGGTAAGAATCAATATATCCCAAAGTCAGGCTAGATGAATCTAAGATTGTTGCTGGCCTTTATTCCCTTTTCAAGTCCTCCTCTTCCATTATTACGCCTGTAAACCAAAGAGAAAAAGTTCTGCTTGCCCCTCTTACCTTACCTTTCCTTTGATGATGGTTGAAGTATCTCACTCACCCTTTTCGTCAAGCGAGACCAAAAGGTGTTCGGACTCCTCGCGAGGTGACAGGCACTATTCAACTGTCGGCTGATAAAACCGCACGGCAACTCCCACCCATCGATCGCGGAAAGGATGCCTGGCTTTTCCTTGCAGCATGCTTCGTCAGGGAAGCTCTTGTCTGGGGCTTCGCCTTCACCTGTGGAGTCTTTCAAGCTTACTACAGCAAGAGACCGGAGTTCAAGAACTCCGGCAACCTCGCCGTAATCGGGACCTGTGCTATGGAAGGATCTGACGGCATCATGCGGCGTAATCTCAGTAAAGCTAACTAATTCCTCCTTGTCTCAAGGGAATCATGTATCTGGATCTTCCGATCGTTTTCGCCGCTTATAGACGGTGGCCGAAGTATCAGCGCCTCGGGTGCGGCGCTGGCGTCCTGATGATGTGTCTTGCTTTAGCCCTGAGTTCCCTCTCGACCAACGTGACCAGCCTTATCATCAGCCAGGGAATCTCTTCTATGCCCTAGGCGGCAGCGTGGCGTACTTGCCATGCATCCTCCTGATGGAAGATTGGTTCGAGAAACGCAAAGGGCTCGCCTTTGGCGTTATGTGGGCTGGCACCGGGCTTGGTGGCGTTGTCCTCCCAATCGTGATGGAGCAATTGCTGAACCGATATGGCTTCCCCATCGCCCTGCGAGCGTTTGCCATCGCCCTCTTCATCCTCACAGCGCCACTGGTGTGCTTCGTGAAGCCCCGCGTGCCAGTCTCCCAGCGTCCCAAGGCGCCAGTCCCCAACCTGCGCTTCCTCATCACATCCACCTTCGCCCTCTTCGAGATCTGCAATATCATCGAGGCCCTCGGGTTCTTCCTGCCGTCGATTTACCTCCCCACCTACGCGGGAGTAATCGGCGCATCGACCAGCCTGCAAGCACTAACGGTCATCCTCTTCTACGTCGCACCGGTAGTCGGCTGCGTGGTAATGGGCGCCATCATCGACAAATGGGACGTGACGACCTGCATCCTAGTCTCCACCATCGGGTCAACCATCGGCGTCTTCCTCATCTGGGGGTTCTCCATGTCGCTGGCCCCGCTCTTCGTCTTTTCCATCGTCTACGGCCTCTTCGCAGGCTCGTACACGAGCACCTGGCCGGTGATCATGCGCGACGTCGTCCGCAAGAAGAGCTCCGCGGAGTCCAGCATGGTCTTCGCCTGCCAGGCTGCCGGCCGGGGCATCGGGAATCTTGTTTCCGGGCCGCTGAGCGAGGCCCTCATCAAGGACATGCCATGGAAGAGCCAAGCAGGCTGTGGCTATGGGAGCGGGTATGGCAGTCTGATCGTCTTCACGGGCATCACGGGGGTTATTGGGGGAGGGAGCTATGTGGCTCGCTGTTTCAGGTGGATATGATCGGTACTGTTATACTAACACGACACACCGCATCATCTTCTGATTTCTTCACCCTAGAAAAAAAAGCCAATCCCGGCATCTTGCATACCTACTTAATAATTGAGAATAGCAGATAAGATCCTCAAGCAGAGTCAGACGACTTAATATTCGTAGAGAAAAACAATGCACATACACCATCTTGTCTTGCGTCGTAACCAATTAGCTAAATTCTACGGAGTAATTAGATCACAGAGATTTGGTACTAAGTAACTCACTACCACCAGTCAGATAATCTATCTATAGACATTAACCAGTCAACTGTGCAAATCCCATATCGTTATAACTAAGGTATAGAAAAATCACAGGCATGTAAGGAATCAGACGGCATTGCATTGCCATTGGGGTGCTGTTGTAGGTAATTAGTGTGCTGCTTAGCTCGGCTGCAGCAGAACTAACCAAGATGAGATAGCGCAACTCCTCGTTTCAGTGTTTCGCAGATCTTCGTCACTTAACCTTCTGACCCCGGAATTGCTCCTTTGTTTATCTTGAATCTCCTACCGACTCCAATTCGTACTATGGTTTCTATCATTGACCCCTGCTGGCCATTGTCACTTTGATCAACTCTGAAGCCGTCATGGTAGGTTACTCTACAGCTCTGCACCCATCTGGTTTACCTTCTACTCAATTTTAATGGAACGAAACATACTGGTATCATGTCTTTTAAAATTCGTTTCAAACAGGTCTGCGTATCTCGCATTTTTAGAATGTCTTCAGACGAACAGTTGATCGTTCGACGGATCAACTTCATGAATGTGCCGAAGCATGTGATGAGCAACCCAACTCCAGCAACTCCAAACGCACCGGAAGAAAATTTTTCAGAACGCCCACAATGTGCTAGACTTTGAACATCAACGATGTGAGATGAGAGAACAGGGTGAAGCATACGCTCGAAACAAAGCGGCGGTCATAAAATAAATACAAGAGGAAAAGGAGATATAACGTAAAGAAATGCTCATGCCGCGTCAGCGGTGGGAATGGGCTCGGGGATCTTGGTGACCTGCTGACCAGCGCGGATAATGCGCTGACCCGACTCGTCGCGGACATATTCGCTGCTCTCCTTCTGAGCACGCTTCCAGATCTCTACTTCACAGCCACCGCGGATAACGCCGACACGCATGGTGGACAGGAGGTTGTGGGCGGCATTCGAGTGGTAGTAGACGCCACCGTTGAACATGGCAGTAGCATCCTTGCCAATACCGGAGTTGATCATAGCCTTGCCACCAGGGTGGTCCTTGATGAAATCAGTCACATCGTGGACAACACCGGCAATAGCAACCAGTCCGCGGCCGTTCTTGGCCTGCTCAACATAGTCATCCCACTCCATAACGGGAAGCTGGTCCAGAGGAACACCCCAATCCAACTTGGCACGCTTCTGGTCGATCTTCTTCTGGAGCTGCTGAATACGACCCTTCTCGATTTCGTTGGCACGGAACTGCTTCAGATCATAGGCCAGACCAAGCTGCTTCCAGATCCAGATGGTCCACTTGGTGGGATCATACTGGTGCCACTCAATGGCGTTGCGGTAGTCCGAGGGGAATTCGTGGTGGAAGTTGTGGTAACCCTCGCCAAGAGTGACCAGAGCAGTGATAACGTGATCTCTGGGGGAGTTGCGGTCGTCGAACGGCTGATCGCCGAGCCAGTGGGCCAGAGAGTTGACGCAGAAAGTGGCTTGCTGAACGAAGAAGATACGCAGGATACCGGCATAGATGAAGCCGCCAAACCAGTCACCCCAGCCGAGACCGGCCACAAGCATGGGCACGACGAGCCCCATCACCAGGACGACCTTCAGGTAGTTGCGGTGTTGCCACACGACGACGGGGTCTTCGTTCAAATCGGTGATGTCCGTACGGCCGATACGCTTGGGGTTCTGCTTCATAACCATCCAGCCGAGGTGCGAGTAAAGGAGACCCTTGCGAACTGAGTAGGGATCCTTGTCGGTGTCGGTATAACGGTGGTGAGCGCGGTGGTCACGAGCCCACCAGCGGATGGAGCCTTCGACTGCACCACCACCAACGGCTGCGAGCCAGATACGCAGAGGCAGACGAGCGGAGTAGGAGCAGTGAGCCCAAAGACGATGGTATCCTGCACGTCATGCATTAGTATTTCTAAGGATTCCCCAGGATATGAGTCTTGTGGCAACTAACCTGCTGTGATACCGAGACCGGTGAAGAAGTAGTAGACAACGGCCCAGACGGCGGTCTTGAGCTGCAGAGGCACCCAGAAAGCCTGGATGCACCCGTACAAGGGGATACCGATGATGAGGACGACGTTCAGCCAGTTGACATGCTTGTACCAGTTCTGACGAGTGATGGCCGTGTCGGCGATATGGACCTTCTTGGGGTCACCAGCCCGCGGGCGAGAAGCGTCTGCAGGCTTCGCAGACATGTTGCCGACCTTTTGCTTTTCTCTTCAAATCCTCTAATTTCAGGTCGGAGGTATATCCGCAAGGAAAGGATGTCCGCACTTAGTGGTTGCCAAACCGAGGGGGGAAGGCAGGTTGATGGGGGAGAAGCACGCTCTTAAAAAGACGACGCGGGAACGAAAGAATTAAAAAGCGAAAGGAGACAGAAGAAGGTGGGGAAGGAAGAAGCGTGAAGGCGAAAAATAGTAATGAGCCGACGGAAAAGACAGGGCAAGGAGAACTTGACCGTTCAACTGCATTCACCCCAGGATCCACAAGCCGATGATGGTTGGGGCAACGAACGGATTGAATTCGGACAATGCAGGGCCGAGAGATGTTGCTATGATGAAAGCAGACGGGATGGGGATGGACGGAGAAAGATAACAGGTGGACTGACAATGATCAGATGCCTATGATCATGAGGTTCCGAGGTCAAACGGAGGCCAGTCTCAATCACCAAGCTGCAAGTTCCATCAATTTGATGCCCTCCAACTGTCAAATCTGCAGCCAACCATACAGAAGCTGGGTATAGAACGATTACCGCTATCAGGGCCATAAACTACCTTAGGTTGTTGGGCGGGCGATCTGATGGCGAATTGACGGCTAGAATCTTCCACTTTCGGACTAGGGGCCATCAAATCCGCCAATCAGAGCAGATTCGCCTTCTGTTGAATCCCCAACACTTTTTCTAAGGTACGAGGTACCGTACCTACCGCCCTTGCAGGTGGACTTGCAGCCTTGCAGGTACTTCCATTATTACTAACGAGTGTGGCTGAAGATCCCTTTTTGGCCACTCGCTGTCTGTGGCGGTTGCTTATTCTGGTCAAATAGAAGAATTTACTGAGTCGATTTTCCGACCTAACGGCGCAATTCTCCGCGATACGTTTGAATGATGAATGGTCAGGACTTCAGGCTGCACATATTTAAATCTTCCAAGGCTAGGAAAGTACCTTGTCCAAGAGTGAAAAATCATCGGCAGTTCACATGATTGCTGGCAGTGTTGGGAAGGAATTTAGAGTTGTCGCATGGCACATTGCCAAGTTCTTATGCCTCAGGCATCAAGCAGCTTCCATGTACCTCACTTCATGAGATCATAACTACGCACTCATGATCATTTTATCATGCCTGCTATATTATTTATAGACTTTCCAAATGATGACTGCGCCAATGGCACTGCAGTGTTTTATCTGAGCCCTGACTCATATTTAAGTTGCCGAATGTGATGAGCTTACATTTGTCCACTCCATGGGTTGACCGAGGTACCAACAGCCAAACAAAGAAGTAGTTGCGAAGTCTGACATCAAGAGGATGGCTGCGTTTGAACTTCTTTGCGCAGATTCGCCTTATCTCTATGGTACCCGGACATGGTCTTCTACAGTGCATCAGAGTGGATGAGGACTCTAGCCTGGAACAGGTCGGCAAGATGCAGCTGCGACTCATATCATCACTTCTACGTTCTTGTCCTCGAATCAGCTGTGGTTGCAGGGTACGTGGCAAGTCTGTGCGTAATGAGCACGTATAGAAGGCATCCAACACTTAAAGCCTAGACCCACCGATTTGCTTCTTCGCTTTCCCTATATCGCAAGGTTGGCGAAGAGGATCGGATTCTGTATGGCTAGGCATGCGAACTTCCAGATTCAAATGCTTCACGCAAAGAGACTTCATACTGCTCCTTATCCTCCACTCTGTCTTTCATAAACTGAAAGGCGTTGAACGCCCAGTAAGGCATAGTGATTTGCCAGAAAGCTGGATCGTCGTGTTTGAAAGAGTGTCTCGATGTTTCTAGCATGTAAGGCAATAACAATCGCTACAGTACCAGGCTAAATCGATTTTGCGAGGACTCTGGCTCAATAATACTTTGTGTTGGGGGGTAGGCCCTGTAACTGATCATCTTTCTGGATATTACGGTAGTTAGTATCTGATTTTTGTTGCGAGGGAGATACACAAACCAACAGCTCTCCAAAACTCTTGACAAGCTTGACTTCATGCTCGCAGTATGCTTTCTCACGAATGCCCATATCTTTGAATGTTGTTGCAACATCGAAATCAATCCATACAAGTTTAGTGCCGGATACAACGAGCATATTCTTGGGATAGACGTCATGGTGATGGATAAGTGCTCCGTGGATCTCTCTGATCCCATCAACCGCGGAGCGAAACAGATCGTCGGAATAACTCAGGCAATTCAGCCGTTCGGCTTCCGGGAAGTACTCGAGTACAATCGCCCTCGGTAGAAATTTATCGTCCTTGAAATGATTTAGCTGTTGGTGGAAATGGGATGGATCCAGGCGATCGATGCAGCCGTGAAAGAACGGAACAAAGCCACGCTCACACACGCCGAATTTAAGAAGGTTACGATATGCATTTAGCTCGCAGCGGAAACGATTCAGGTCTCGGCCTCTTTCGCTATACCCTGGATCACCATTATCATGGAACTGATATGTCAGCGTCGTCCTGGAATGGCAAAAAGCTTGACTGACCAGCTTCATCACGCGTGTCTTCCCACATATTTGTACTTCGAATACCGTCGAAGCTTCCGAGCGGCTGATCTCCTGTTGAATAACAATATCAAGGGGATCTAAATCAAGCGAGCAATCGCCCTGCAGATCCATGGCCGTTGCGTGACCTACATGGAGTCGGGGGTTGTGGTCAAAATGAGTTCTGATCGAGCAGAGGTCGCACCCAATAACACGCCTCCCTAGATCACATATAAAGTGTTAAAGAGTTCTGTGATATGCCGACTCAAACGCTTCAACCGCCCTGCATTCCCGAACCTCAACAATGGTATGGGCCCGCCCTTACTTCGATGGCTCTGGGTTTCCATGGTACTAAGATAATTTGAAATGGAAAGTCAATCACTTTTGCATTATCTCTCTGTTGCTCTCCCGACTATATAGTCAATTAGCCGCTCTAGGTGTGGGGCTTGGAGTTGATAATGTTTCTTGTCTCTGGGGTCCTCCAGCACTAATCAGATTTCAGAGGATTATAATCGGGTACTAAGGCCTCTGCAGTGTAACCGCCGCAAGATACACAGAAGGGAAGAAAGGCTTCTAAATAAGTACTAGTTTAAAGGCAGTCTTACTTAGCAGGCTAGCATTAAACCTTCTAGTCTGCCCAGAATGGTTCTAGGCCTCTGTATCTAGGATATCTGTAACATTTTTTGAGCTATAAAATATCACAGGTATAATACAACAGTTTATTTTTCACTGTTCCCTTTCCACACTGGCTCATCACATGATCAGGGTTTTAAAAGAAGTCTGTATATATAGAACATGGAATCCAGTTACGGGTGTCTCTGTAGCCCAAACCCATAAAGTCGTGGAATAGGAACAGACGGACAGCTTTCTTGGAGCCATGCGTAGGCCCCAGCGTCACAACGAACCTTCTCATCCGCATTACCTGGGCGGTAGTTCTCCCCAATTTGTTAAGGCAAGGGAAACCAGATCATCATCCGTCTCCGTGCATCTTGTCCATGGCAAACAAACATCGATTTGAATACAAACATTGAAGCTTCCGTCTATCCAGTCTTCCACATCAATAACATGACAGATGTCTGCAGAAGTAGGCGGAGATGGTGGGCAGCGATTGTCGCAATCAGTCCGCGATTCCGGTACAAGTGGTTAAAAAGTCGAATCCTTTAATTCCAGTAGCCCAGCTGGTGGAGGATATTGGCATCTTCTTCCTTTGCAGCTTCGTATGTGATCTAGCCTCGAAGCAAGCGAAGAGGTTTTAGTGTGGCAGGTGAACCATGATCCTGAGACATCCCTTCAGATCCGGCCCGGCCCTTTTTGGACCAAATAAATGGAGACCGTACCGAATCAGCCAACGACTTGGTTGACTTTCGATCTTGTCCATCAAAATAAGGTGTGACAGATGCTATGTCGGAGAAATAATCTTCCTTTCGAGTTGTCACTCGTCGGGGTTCTTCCTGGGGCTCACTATGGATAGGTTGAGTTAAGTATGGAGTATGGAGTACTCCGTAGATACACTTCCCAATATATATCCAACCACCGGAGTACTAATTTCAAATCTCGCTGCAAGCTCAATCTATTAGTAACTACAATCATGACCATAGGCCAGCTACTATTGTTGAGCGATCCTCGGGCCCATCCATCTATGCATCTATGAATCGCTCAATTGATGGATCCTGTCTGCAAATCTGACAATTCTCTATCTAGAGGTATGCCGAACCAGACAAAGATCCGCCTCTCAGGGTCATTCACGATTCAATCACAACTTTGAGGGATATTCAGGGAAAGGCATCAAGAGCTGTAATTCAGATGTCGTTCGGCATATAGCTATCAGAGCCCTTGCAAGTTCGGCGGCCCCCGCCTTGCTGATAAGATGGGTGGATTTTACACAAACAGCACCTGTCAGCTAGAGTGTTTCTTATCAACCTCCACACGAGTCAAGCGTGGCAGTTCCACATCGCACAAGACTAACCGTGGTTTAGTGGTCAGTCCGCCAGTGAAAACCCCCTTCTATTCCCGAGAGTGGACATCGTCGCTAGCCATCCATCGGCTAAAAGAGTGCTTGGAATCCTCTTCCACGCGACGCGAGAGATAACCAATCGTCAGATTATTCGATTGATTCACGCACCCTGATTCTATCATCTTTGATAGAGCCGTATCGCTGTCATGCTTTTAGCATCCTCACCTAATCTCGCGATTTTCGCAAAATGCTCATCTTATATAGGGCGCACTGGTTCCGTTCAAATTGCGGGACCAGAATCCCCAGACTCGTTCCTGATCCGCTCCATTTTGTTCGGCCAAGATTGAGTCATTGGCCGATTTCGGGACATTTTTCTTCCCCGCACATTCTGTGTGCCACAGCAGCAGAACAAAGCTTAGAACCAGCAATTATCTTGCACTTCACCTTTCACAGTCATTGTGAATAACACTAGACTTGAAACCCGTCCACACAAACCCACCATGGACGGACCCGATCGAATCGGTCCTGATCACAGTCCCAGGCGGACTTTCCGCGATAAAGCTCGACGGATCGTGAAGACATGGACTACCAAGTTAGTCGTCTACGACCACTCGTATCTCTTGTCGTCTATGTATGCTAATCTATGCATGATTAACAACAGAGAAGGATTGGTTGGAGACTACAACTACGCCTACCTCTTCACACCGAGAATCCCCTTTACCAAGAACATCAGAAGGACGGCCCCTTTCTTTGGACTGCACGACAGGTTACCTGTGCTACTTGCCTTCATTCTGGGTCTTCAACATGCTCTCGCCATGTTGGCTGGAGGTAAGCTCGGAGACGTCATCCATCCGACTGCCACTGATTAATGGTTAAAAGTCATATCTCCTCCCATCATCTTGGGCGGTTCTAGCGGCGCCAACTTCGGAGACGCCGAATATCAGTACCTTGTTTCCACGTCCTTGATCACCTCCGGCCTGCTATCCGCTATTCAGATGGCCCGCTTACGGATCTGGAAGACCCGATACTTCATTGGTACTGGCTTGATATCGGTCGTCGGCACCTCCTTCTCCACAATCACCGTCGCATCAGGAACCTTCTCTCAGATGTATGCGTCTGGATACTGCCCCACGGATGCCAACGGCAACAAGCTGCCGTGCCCTAGAGGTTACGGGGCTATCCTGGGCACAGCTTGTTTGTGCTCTCTGCTTACGATCGGCCTGTCCTTCATGAGCCCAAGGATCCTAAAACGCATTTTCCCGCCTATGGTGACTGGTCCTACGGTTCTGTTGATCGGAGCAAGTCTCATCGAAAGTGGCATGAAGGACTGGGCTGGCGGCTCTGGCTGTGGATCAGACCCATCCGCTCGTGCCTTGTGTCCCAGTGCTGGTGCACCACATGCTCTCCCCTGGGGAAGTGCTGAGTTCATTGGTCTCGGATTCCTGGTTTTTGTGACGATCATCCTTTGCGAGCGGTTCGGCTCCCCTATTATGAAATCATGCGCCGTCGTGGTCGGACTTCTGGTCGGGTGTATCGTGGCAGCTGCCTGCGGCTACTTCGACAGATCGGGCATCGACTCCGCGCCCGTTGTCTCATTCATCTGGGTGAAAACGTTCCCTTTGACTATATACGCGCCTCTGATCCTTCCGTTCCTCGCACTCTACATCGTTATCATGATGGAGTCGATCGGTGATATCACTGCGACATGCGACGTCTCCCAGCTCGAAGTCGAAGGTGCGGAATTTGATTCGCGCGTCCAGGGTGGTGTCCTAGGCAATGGATTGACCTGTCTGCTGGCTGGACTCTTCACCATCACGCCCATGTCGGTCTTTGCTCAGAACAACGGTGTCATTGCTCTGACAAAATGCGCCAACCGCAAGGCCGGCTACTGCTGCTGCTTCTTCCTCGTCGTCATGGGCGTGTTCGCCAAGTTTGCCGCCGCCATCGTAGCCATCCCCAAGCCTGTCCTCGGTGGCATGACCACGTTTTTGTTCTCTTCCGTCGCCATCTCCGGCATCCGTATCATCTCCACGATCCCGTTCACCCGCCGCAACCGGTTCATCCTAACGGCCTCTTTTGCCGTTGGTATGGCCGCTACGCTGGTCCCTGACTGGTTCTCGTATTTCTTCACCTATAATGGTGATAACCACGCCCTGCAGGGTCTGCTAAACGCTGTGGAGCTCGTTATGGAAAACGGATTTGCAATCACCGCTGTTATCGGGTTGGTCCTCAACCTCGTCCTTCCGGAAGATCCGGAAGACGAGGCGGCCGTCGTGGAGGCTACGACAAGCGATGCGCCGTCGGAGGAGCTGAAAGATGCGGATCCTTCTTCTTTGAAAGCAGGGCAGCCACCTGGCTCTTTGGCTGTATGATTAATCATACTATGGTACACTGCATGGCTGAGAGGCATTACCGTGCGTCAGGTTGTTTCGATGTTTTTTCTGGATACCCTTCTTTGGTACTGTTTTCGAGGATATATAATTCAAATCAAGATCTTCAAGCATTACTCTATTACTACGATTCCGCTCCTAAATTCGTAGCATGGCAATAATCCGCCATTCCAGGTAAGAACTTCGCCAGCCGAACTACACCCCTTCCACAATCTCGCCCGGTTTCAGCAACTTGATATAGCAATGCTCGCCCGTCTCTAGCAGTGAGACAGTATCGCCGACGCGGATGACGAACTCTATCGACAGTTAGTAAACCAAGCTTCCATGTTCGGAGGCGACACTCACCTTGTACAGAAGGAACACACTGCATCCCCAAACACGCATTCGTCGGATCCCCAGGGTCAATCCGCCTATAGCTCTTCAGCGTCCTATCCGGCTCGGACGCATGCCTGATGCCCGTGGCAGGGTCAACATTCGGCAGCCGACAGCGCATCGTCCGACAGGAAACATGTACCTCGACCCCGGCGTCAGCATCACTCTTCGCCCCAGTTGGTCGAATCAGGATGCGCTTCCAGTGGTCCTCCGCAAACGTCTCAGGCCCTTGGACGATGATGTTCGCCCTGAACCGCCGCACAGACAGCCGCGGGATATCCCGTGCACATCGCGCCGCAACGTCATGGACACTCGCGATGTTGAGGATATGCAGGGGATACGCGTCCGCGAAGGCTGTCACAGGCTGGAATCCGAGCTCCTCTTTGCGAGGCGCGTTGCGAAAGACCTGCCGGTGGTGCGTGGGGTCAACGCGGAAGAGGGTGAGAGGACGAGACGCACCCGCATCTGGGGGAGCTAGAAACTCCCGCAGGGACTGTGGAAGATGTTGGCCGTAGTCGTAGGCCACCGGGGTATCTTTCCAGATCTTCACCGGGACAGGCGGGTAAGCACTGGCGCGATCTGATGGCGGCACGAGCGGAACACTGAATGATAGCTCCCGGGGGAGCAGACGCAGGGCTATCCCCAACTTAACGAGGTACAACGAAAGACCTCGACCAGCTGGTCGTGGGTAGTACATGACCATCACACCCTTAGACCTGACCTCGTCCAGATCAGGCGCGTAGTCGGGGGCAGCGGGATCAGGAACCCAGATCTCAGGCCGGATGAGTGCCAGCCGGCTGTAATGGCCGTTACGGAGAGTGCGCGCATCCCAGTAGGGCTGTGTCTTCCCCTCGCTGGTGCTCGCTTGGTCAGGTGTGAACTGTTCTGCGAAACAGAACTGTCGGTCAAACGCAAATCCGGTCGATACGACATCGGCGACGTCCAACTCCACTGCGGCGCAGCTTTTGATGGGATGGGTGAAGAGGGCTTTAATACGCCATAAAGGCTGACCTTTGTCATCGACATCCTTTGAGGTTCCCTTGCTATACTTGGGGTCGAATTCGTCGTGCAGATTGCTGTGGCCTGGTGGAAGGCCTAGCCTGCGGCATCCTCTCGGTGGTGCTGGATGGGCGGAGCCACATTGACGGACAATGAGGATAAGTATCGGTAAAATTGCAAGCAGCGAAATGCCTGTAGACGACAGTAAAGCCTTCACAGCATCTTGTTGGAAGTTGGTGAAGCTGAATGTAGGTTCACTCAGCATTTGACGAGATGTGCGTTCCAGAAGACCTGAAGACCAGCAAAATGTAAAATAAGCAGCAGTTGTAAAGTACTCAGACCTTTCCTAGGTAGCAGACTCGTTTTGTATATTTAATCGAAGAGTATAAAGCGATCGAGGCGATGGTATAATTGTGGAGGTGAGTCAATTAATGGGGGCGGAATCTCGGGATCCCTTAACCTCCACAATCAAAAATCTCCACGCTGGAGTTGGCGCAGCTGCTGATACCCCGGTGATCAACCATTCAGTTCGGTGGTCAGCAGCTCGAATATATGCCCCAGCAAAGGTTGGAAAACGTCAAGCTGGCAGACTAAAAAAAAATGCAAGATCTGGAGTGCAGTAATGTCCTAGATCGTCAATAATTCCTCCTTCCTGAATCTGCCATCTTACATGTGATCACCGCCTGTTAAGTGCTACGATGAGCACGCACGATATCCTGGGTCTGTCCAGTCAAGATCCTGGTAAGTTATTAAAACTGTGATCTTCCCGTATATATTGCTAATTTCTATCGTAGGTCGCGTCATTTCATTCCCTGCTTCGCAGTATCTGCACGCGTCTACCGCGTCGGGAGTCCCTGGTGCGATTTCAACAGGACTCCCTCGGCTTGACCAGGCAATCTGTCCGGTTTCTTCAGATGAGTCTTCACAGTCGACGAGCGATGCGACGCTGGGCGGGATTCCTTGTGGTCATGTCACCGAGGTGTTCGGGCCACCTGGTGTAGGCAAAACGGCGCTGGCGTGAGTTTCACCGCAGATGAACTGACCATATGGTGAACCAATTCAGCCTAATCCTGTTTGTGTATCTCAGAATGAGCATAACCGCAAACGCTCTATGTGACGGTGGTAAAGTGGTTTGGATTGGTACGGCATCCTTGACCGTCCGAGATTATCGCTGACCGTTTAGATACTACCTCGCCACTTCCAAAGCCCCGTCTAAAGAGCATGCTCATGCAGAGTCTCGACACAACCAAATCATCCGATACGCCACAGCAACTCATGGACAATGTAACCTACTTCCGCGCTCAGTCGCTGCCACATCTGCTAGCGCTTCTGCTCCACCCACCACAAGGATTCCCGCCCGAAAGCACCAAGCTTCTGGTGGTCGACTCTGTGTCAGGGCCGTTCCCTTCGTACTTTCTGAGCCCATCCGAGTTGAAATCCCGTCTAGCGCAGGCGAAGATCACGGACAAGTCCCAGATCCATTGGCTCATGAACCGCAAATGGAACGTCACGAGCGAACTGGCAAATCAGCTGATGAAGCTGGCGGCTTCAAGACGACTGGCTGTGCTCCTCATCAATCAAACCCACACAAAGATCAAAGGGCTGCCACGTGCGACCCTGAGCCCACTGCTTGCGGGTGGCGCGTGGGAGAATAGCGTGCACACCCGCATCGTCCTGTACCGAGATTTCCCGGCCGTTGGCGATGACGAGTCAGAGATGGCTTCAAGGAGCGTCCGCTACGCGGAGGTACTGAAGAGGGATGGCAAGGCGTTGACAGTGAGATCAGATGAGAACATCGTGCCGTTCATGGTCGACTCGGTAATAATCACCCTATAGACAATGGGATTGCATCAACATCCGACTGACATGACGGAAACAGGGCTCTCTACGTGGGACGGACACGACTCAGCCGTCCCGCGCTGTTCCACAGCAGCCGGTTGAGGAGACTTTCCGTGCGGGTAGGCGGAAGCGGAAAGTGGACGAGATTGCGGACAGTCAGGATGAGGCCGATTCCGACGATGACTTTGGATGGGTTGATGGCGACGATGCGGGCTTGGTCGAAGGGCCTGCTGACGTCTCATGAACTCACAGTACGCTTCCCAAGGTCCAGGCAGGAACGTCGCCGCTTAATCGGGCTCCAGTTTCTGAAGACATACAGGCGATCATTGGAAGAACAGACAACCGCCTCGCCATTACAAGCTATAATATGCTATACATTATTTCAGAAAGAGTCTTTAACGTATCGACATGACACCTCAATCATTACGGAGGGTATTAAGGAGCAAAGGCTCAAGTCATCCTTCGGCTACCATCGTCGCGGGACCGCTGCTCAACCCATGTTGAAAATTCGGTCATTGCCAGGATCTTGCCATCTGGGATTTGCCCATTGAAACCCCCAGTGGTTGCCCTCTTGATCTTCTCGGCCTCGACGTTAATCGACGAAATCTCACATACGTTGAAATCCCCGTTCATACCTGGCTGAGTAGCGCCATTGTTCGGGCCGGTATTGAATTCCAGCGAACAGAGATGGACGGCATCTCTGCCTATCATGGGACGTCTATGTCCGTGTATCACATCAACGAGCCTGCCAAGGACGGCAAACTCCAGCTTCAACTTGAGGCTATATATCGCGCCTTTCAGTGTAATCTGGATGGCGTAGTAGCTGGCGTACTCGAGGCCCAACAGGGCCAAATCCATCAGGACGATCAATATATTGATGCCCACGAGCTGGTGCATGATCCTCTGCTTATCCTTGTCCGATCCCAGTCGGAGCAGCTTGACCGTCTCCCATACATAGAGGCCAGAGATGATCACCTCCTGTATCGTGAAGCCGGTCATCTGGAGCTTCTCCATGATATTGTACCCTTGCACGAATACAGGCGATCGATCGACGACATTGGATCCGTACGTCAGGACCGTGGTAGGGATATGCAGGAAGAAAATGTTCGCGATAATCATTATCAGCACCCGTCGCAGGATACGCTCATCGCGAAGAACAAGGTGCAGGCGTGAATAGAGTACAAATGCCTGCCCGGTCACCATTGTCCACCAGCCGACGCTGAGCATCGTGACCGATAAGGTGGAATTGGCGGAGGTGAAGAATTTGAGCAGGAATCCCAGCGAATACGGGATCACTCCGAAGCATCCGGAGAGGAGCAAGCTCCAGAAGTACAGGCCTCTCCAACGCCGGAAGGTCGATAGCACGAGCACGACGAGCTCAACGACGTTGTAAAAGGAGATGGCGCTGAAGATGAAGAGAGTCGCCTTGAGCCCATCCCTGTGGTTCGCAAGCTCACCCGAGATACCGTCTAATGGGTCTTGAATGGTCGACATCTCACGCTTTATGTTGCTTTGACATGGATTGTCTTGCTGAGTGTGGAGTTAGGATATGAGTATAGGCAGGTCGCGCGGTACGAGAAGCTGAACTCACAGAGAATCAAGCACAAAACTCAACCATTCGAGATTGGCCCAGCAGTACTGTTTCTACTGCTTCTGCGGACGGTCTCTCTTACCTTTTCAGTGATCTTTCCTCTCTAGAAATCACCAACACATCAAATCCAAACGTAGAAGCCTGGTGCTATCGAAACAAACCCAGCGACGGAACACTCATGACAGAATAGACCTCAAGTAGCGAACAGACAACATGTAATGTACCTTACTGAGACGAAGAAACAGACGGAAAATTGAACAGCCACCCGGGGCATACCACGCACGGCACTCCTCAACAGCTGGGGTAGTACAAATTGTTCACTCTCCCGTCGGAGATAATTCCTCCCCTTATTGCTGTGTACCCTCGATTTCCTGCTTTCAACGTTTCCCCCCAGAGCAAACAATGGTCGAATGCAACTGCATGCGTGTGATTGATGCGGGAAAGGCTCCTGCCTTCCCTGCCTTCCGGCATTGCTTCGTGACTATTGCGCCTAGGCCTAGATAGTCAAGGGGCCAAAAGTTTACCTTCGGAGTAGACTAGAACTAATCCTTCTGCGGGTACCGTTGCGATGGTATCTTTCATCCAAAGATCGGGGAGCTGAAGGATTAAATGTTCCGAACTCTGATTATGTTTGATTTGGTGGTCATTGTAGAGGAAAGGGAACTTGTCTCAGCTACGATAGGTACCATTGATGGGGGAGGTATCCAGGTGAGGCATTTCGTGATTTGGGCCGCGTTGTAGCACAGAACATGCATTGGCCCGTTTGTCGCCCCGTCGAGTCCCCTAAGAGGTTACATGAGTTGTGAGAAGAGCTGTTGGTGCTGGCATGATCCTTCTCTGAATTTGCCTTATGCTTGTAGAACGGGCCTTCAAGTGGATCATGCATTGGGAGAATCATTTGGCAGTTACTGTGGGTGCAAATGAGATTTCAAAAGTACGCGACCACTGATCAATAGCTGATCAAACATCTAAGAGGGTGACGCATGATTTGCCATATTATCCCGAGAATTAAACTGTACACTATACGGGAATGCCCTCATCTGCGACAGCTGCACTTCATTCTCGTGGTTTATCTATGAGGCTGCGCAGGTCATAGCGTACATCAGTCACAGCTTGACTTGCACGCACAGTTCGATTGAGTGCCCTATCAGTGGTTGCAAGCTTCCTTGGGATATCCACTGAACTCTTAAGGGGCAATGCTCATTGATTTGGTCATTAGGGCGCAGGGACCTTGTAGAATTCAAGAATCGTCTATTATGCTACAAGGCTTGCCAGAGTTGAAAAACCGTACCAACGAAATCCATCATAGATTGGTGAGATAATCTTCAATCTCCTCTTTGGTCAACTTCCTAAACCGAGGACCTCTGGCGCCTTCAACGCCTTCATAACCCAGAAGATGATCCGCGGGAGGGCCAACAATACCTGCGTCAGTCAGCTTTGTGTTTCGTACGGCGACCTTTGATCTAGATAAGTAGAACTCACCGATTTCTATTGTGTCTCCGTTCATCTCGCCCTCGATCGTCTCTTTCAGAGTAAGGAGGGCGATGTGGATGGCATCTTCAAGCTCCAGTCCCTCTGTGTAGCGCTTCTCCAGGAACGTCTTGGCGCTAGTTGCATGCTTTCCAATGGCCGTGGCCTTCCAAGGATAGTAACTGCCGCTGGGGTCGACTTGGTACAAGCTGGGACCGCCCTTCAGGATACCGCCAGTTTTACCAGTAGCTACAGTAGCCTTCTTAAGGTCACCCTCCTCATCACCGCGTTGAGCTTCACCTGTTTCGGGCTCAATACCCTCATCCCAGCCAGCGATGAGCAAGCTGACACCGTATGGTCGGACACCACCAGATTGTGTTGCTTCCTGCACGACACGTGCAACGTCTTGCACCAGAATCCGAGTTGGAGGGTACTCGTTATAGATTCGTTTGTAGCCAGTGTGAGAGACCTTGCGAGCCTTGTCGACTAGTACACGGTAGTCCGGACCCATTCCAGCATAGACCATACCAATATCCGGCGTGATGAGGGAAATCTTGGAGAGGGAGGGAGGGTCAATGAGTGGGGAGGACGACTTCTTTTCGGTGGCGAGAACAATTCCATTTGTTGCTAAGAAAAATAACGATGGTCAGAAGCTATTCTGGGTAGCTAGCGCAATTAGTCCATTTGAATGAAAGCTTACCTTTGATTCCGAGGGCAGTTACGCCTTGGTTGACAGCGTTCAGGGCATATTCTAGATTCAATCAGCATTGAGAATTCCATAAAATAAGACCAATCGCAGTACCGATTTGTACCAGCTTCCCACTGTAAGCTATTGTTAGCATCCGATTATCTAAGGTGTCACCTGCAACAAGCTCCTCTTACCTGGGGGAGAAGGTAGTCAAAGAGAACGAGTAGCGATCAGCCATGGAGACGTCTTTCCGATTCCAAAAGCTCTAAAGAAGATGGCAGAGCTCTAAAAAAGATGGAGAAGGTAATATGAAGATAATATGAAATAGTTGAAGGTCAAGTGAAGCTTTCCTTCTCCGAGCAACAGGCGACAAGGTGTTGACGCAGCACAGCTTAGGTCCATCCGCCCAGTGCCAAGCCATGTCTGGGGCGGTGACGATACAAATGCCAGAACTGGCTTACGCGAGCACTAGTGCTGTCGTTGCCTGAGGCTCCTTCTATCTCGAAGCTCCACATCGCTTCTTTTAAGCTGGTTGAGGGCTTTTTTTCTTCCTATTTCTCTTCCTTTCTCTCTCTCCCACACAAATAACACACCACGACATCCTTGTATTTATACCATCTGAGCTCTCGCCGGATGCTCTCGCACCAGATCTCTGGTAGATTTGGTTAATATGTTGTGACTTGAGCTTCTAAGCATTCCACTGCAGTATGGATGTGCATAATGAGCCGCTCTGGCAGTGGCCTTCCAGCGTCCCTTCTAATACTTCATTGAACTCGGAGTCAAGTCAGACACCTCAAAACACTTACCAGTCCAGTGACGAAAATACGACTACTGAATGCCCCGAGTCTCCCAATAAACACTACCCCAATCGTACTTGTCGCATCTGCCTGGAATCAGTCCCTCCTACCTTCCACCCCCCTTCGGAAAACCTGCCAGGTTTCCTCCAGCCCAAGCCGCGAGTTGTCTATGAGTCTTCTGACCCAGAGCTTGGCCGACTTCTTCGACCCTGCAAATGCAAAGGTTCTTCGCGTTACGTTCACGAGGGATGTCTTCAGTCCTGGCGCCATGCAGATCCTGATTATGGAAAGAGACACTATTGGCAGTGCCCGACCTGCGGGTTTCAGTACAGGCTAGAACGTCTGAAATGGGCGCACTGGATCAGCAGTGCATCTACCCAGATCGTATTAACTTTGAGCATTTTGTTGTTTACAGTATTTTTGCTTGGTTTTATTGCTGACCCCATCATCAATCTTTATGTGGACCCGGTGGAAACAATAGTTTACAAGGAATTCTGGGAGCCTAGTACTATGTCGGGCGTCTTGCCGACCGAAACAAGACCATCTTGGGTAGAGCATTTCGTGAAAGGACTGGCCTCATTAGGTCTTCTTTCATTCATCAAGGCCATACTTGCATTGAGCCCATGGCAGTGGTGGAATCTGCGCAGTTCAGGCGTCGTCAGCAGTGGGAGGACCACTGGCAGGAGTCGAGCGGCTTCCATCAGTTGGATAGTCATCCTCATCGGTGTTGGTAGCTTCCTATGGGTAGGTCAACGCGGCGAAAGCATCGTACTTTATCAATCACTAATCGCACTATACAGGCTGTTTGGAAAGGTGTCAGGACTTGGAGTCGCAAGACACTGGAGAAAGCCGGCGAACGCGTCATGGATGTTCCATTGCCTGATGACGATGACGAAGACGAAGACGAGCCATTTGCCTCCGCTGAAGGACGTCAGTCATCGAAGAAGGATGACTGAATGTGCTTGAACCTAGCATCTGTCCGAGAAATTCAACACCTTCTGTAATGCCACACGCACTACTTTGAGTTGTCACGCTCCTGTCAATGAGGTGCCAATCAGTCAATGTGCGGAGAACGATACTGATCCTTGTTAACTTCTGGGTCTCGTTTGTGAAGCAGAGCACCTGGAACAGGGCGTTTTGTCCTCTCCTTCTTTGCTCTGTTTCGTAAAGCAAACGTTCCCAGAGGGAGGATCGAGCTGCATTCTGACTCGATCGGTTTGGGCCGCTCCAGTGCAGTGAGCGTTTCTAGATTGAGGTGCGGTACATCATACTGTCAGATAGTGTAGTTGTCAATCTATTCTCTTTTCATGACATTAATTCAGTCCTTGAATACGTAATATTTGCTGATATTAAATCGCATCCCTAGCAGTCCTCGAAGGCTTCGTCGCTGCCATTGTTGTCAGTAGCCTCGACTGCCATACATCATACTCAAGTCTCGGATCCCTCAATGCTGCAACTGCTGGCCAGGACGCATAATCTGAATGCGACTTGAAACAGTCTTGTTATTTGACAATGTTCTTGCGCCGTGCATGCTTGCACGGTACACGGGTTACTCTCGCCTATTAATACAACTTCTCCATGAACTGACAGCTAGTGTGATGATCATCCACTACGTAGTCAGAGATACAAGATCCGTATCTGCTTGATTACAGCGAATTCAGTGGGAAAACAAGGCCGTGGAAATATCGGGAAACTGTGCCCTTGCCTGGCATGGCTTTCCCTCAATCTCTATACGCCCCGGCTCCTGAAACGACAGTCCATGATCACTTACTTCGTATACAGATGGTCAAGGTTCCTCTATGACTATTTGAAGATGGCAGTATCTTGCGTGAAGAGCAAGGTTCTGTGGCCTGACTCTCTGTGGAACCGCACAGCCTGTATCCCATGAGGTTTTAAGACTCAATTGCACTGAGCTACTGGTCGAAGTTTTGAAACATGATGTACTTTC